TCTATCTATCTATCTATCTATCTATCTATCTATCTATCTATCTATCTATCTATCTATCATATATGCGATATTTATTTCTATATCTATGTATCTATCCATCCATCTATCTATCTATCATATATGCGATATTTATTTCTATATCTATCGATCGATCGATCATATATGCGATATTTATTTCTATATCTATCTGTCTATCTGTCTATCTATCCATCTATCTATCATATATGCGATATTTATTTCTCTATCTATCTATCTATCTATCTATCTATCTATCTATCAATCATATATGCGATATTTATTTCTCTATCTATCTATCTATCTATCTATCTATCTATCTATCTATCTATCTATCTATTGTGTTTCTCCAAAAATAAGACCCTGTCTTATACTTTTTTGAACCCTGAAATAAGCGCTTGGCCTTATTGCCATGCACTCAAAAGCCCAACTGGGCTTATTATCAGGGGATGTCTTATTTTGCGGGGGAAACAGGGTATATCTATCATCATCTATCTATCATCAGAAGGCGGCATTGTCAGGATCGAATTCCTGCAAACGGGGGGCAATATGCTGACTCTGTAAACCACTTAGAGACGGCTGTAAATACCCTATGAAGCGATCTATACGTCTTAAGTGCTATTGCTGTAAAAGGCCATAGGTTGCACGTATGGATTTTGAAACCCTTCGGAGGCCAGAGTTCAGTGATGCAACCTAAAATTGCATTGAGGGTGGAGATGGGGGTCTTTTGCACTCAGGCCACCTCCCCCACCTTCTATTCGACACCTGCGATTCCTGCCTATCAACCACATCTCTCAAGCAGACCCCCCGGTTTCCTCTCGAACCCATCCCTTAAACCAGGGGGTCTCCAACCTTGGCAACTTTACGACTTGTCGACTTCAACTCCCAGAATTCCTCAGCCAGCAAAGCTGAATTCTGGGAGTTGAAGTCCACAGGTCTTAAAGTTGCCAAGGTTGGAGACCCCTGCCTTAAACCCTAGATATCCCAGAGTTGGAACTTGAGGTTGAATGCATGCCGGTTGGAACTTCTGGAATCAAATCGCGGGCCTTTTTTTTTGGAGGGGTCGGTGGGACGATGGCGGGAATGGAAGAGAAACAACCAGCCCTTTTAAGTTGTTAATTCTGCTTGGAAAAGTGTGAAAGGGGGCAGTGGGTGGGGTTGGAGAGAAAATGGGACAGCACAACAAGTGATTGCACAAACTTTTTTGGGGGTGGGGGGAATGGACCCAACTGAGGAAGGCGGGGGTGGGTGGGAGAGAGAGAGATTAGATACTTGGAGCAAACATCCATCCCTGAGCTTCCTGCCATTGTGTAGCCCGGGGCAGGGGGGGGGCTGTGGCAGGGGGGTTTATGAAGAAAGGATAGGCCTGCATAAACACTTAAGCCAGGTTTCCTTTGGATCCTCCTTGCCCAGTCAACGCCCAGGTCTTACTGTAAAAATAAGTGGGAAGGCTGGAGCAGCCAACCGTTTGCACGATAACCTTTAATCTCCAGAGCCAGATGGTAACTTTGGCCCAGGAAAAGAAGAAAGAAGAAAGAAGAAAGAAGAAAGAAGAAGAAGAAGGAGAAGGAGAAGGAGAAGGAGAAGAAGAAGAAGAAGAAGAAGAAGAAGAAGAAGAAGAAGAAGAAGAAGAAGAAGAAGAAGAAGAAGAAGAAGAAGAAGAAGAAGAAGAAGAAGAAGAAGAAGAAGAAAGATGGAGGGAAGAAGGAAGGAAAGAAGGAAGGAAGGAAGAAAAGAAAGAAAGAAGACAAGAAGAAAGAAGGTGGGAGGGAGAGAGGAAGGAAGGAAGGAAAAAAGAAAAAGAAAGAAAAGAAAAAAAGAGGGAAGGAGGGAAGAAGGAAGGATGGAAAGAAGAAAGGAAGAAAAGAAAGAGAAAGAAAGATGACTGAAAAAGAAAGAAGGTGGGAGGAGAGAGGAAGGGAGGGAGGAAGGAAAGAAGGAAGGAAGAAAAGAAAAAGAAAGAGAAGGAAAGAAAGAAAGAAAAAAGAAAGACAGACAAAGAGAAAGAAAGAAAGAGAAAGTCACAAGCCTGCAGTAACTAAAGTTTCTAATTTTAAAAATGATAAAAGATCAGACATAATACAGACAGACGGCTATTTTCAGCAAGTCCCCCCCCCTCACTTCTGTGTGAATTTATTATCATTTCCTGACTGAATTTTGAATCTGTGCATCTGGCAAGGAAAGCTGCCCGCAAGGGATTTGTCCTGCAAAAGGTGGCAGTCCCTGTGCACTTTTTAAATCAAAAATAATAAACTCATTCGAAAATCAGCTTGCTATTTTTGATTTCTGGAAGGCTAGCCGAGCAGCCGGCCATGAAGAAACAAAATACAAGAATGGCAAAAAAGCTGTAGTTGCTGTAGTGTAATGAAGTGTGAATACCACTTTATAATGCCTTGGTATTAGTGGACAACCATTTAAATAGGAGCCAGCCGTGTGCAGCAGCTGCCAAAAAAGCCAACACAGTTCTGGGCTGCATCAACAGAGGGATAGAATCAAGGTCATTTAAATTGTTAATACCACTTTATAAGGCCTTGGTAAGTATTCCACACTTGGAATACGGCATCCAGTTTTGGTCGCCACGATGTAAAAAAAGATGCTGAGACTCTAGAAAGAGTGCAGAGAAGAGCAACCATGAGGATTAGGGGACTGGAGGCTAAAACATATGAAGAACGGTTGCAGGAACTGGCTATGTCTAGTCTAGTGAAGAGAAGGACCAGGGGAGACATGATAGCAGTCTTCCAGTATCTCAGGGGCTGCCCCAAAGAAGAGGGAGTCAAGCTATTCTCCAAAGCAGCTTCTGAAGGCAGGGCAAGAAGCAATGGGTGGAAACTCATCAAGGAGAGAAGCAACCTAGAACTAAGGAGAAATTTCCTGACAGTGAGAACAATTAACCAGTGGAACAACTTGCCTCCAGAAGTTGTGAATGCCCCAATACTGGAAGTCTTTCAGAAGAGATTGGACAACCATTTGTCTGAAGTAATGTAGGGTTTCCTGCCTAAGCAGGGGGTTGGACTAGAAGACCTCCAAGCTCCCTTCCAACTCTGTGATCCGGTTAATTAATCAATGGAACGATTTACCTTCAGAAATTATGGATGCTTCATCACTGGAGGTTTTTAAGAAAAAGACTATAGACAGTCACCTGCCTGAAACAGTATAGGGTCTCCTGTTTGAGCAGAGGGTTGGACTAGAAGACCTCCAAGGCCCCTTCCAGCCCTGTTCCGATGGAAGCCTTCTTCCTCTTGCTGATTACTGCGTCCCACTTGGCTGGGAAATGACGGCTGACCGGCCTTTTGCCAAACTGCTTGCCCGGATCCTTTTAACAAGAGGAGGAAAGGAGGTGGTAGGAAGGAGCCCTTAAGTTCAGCACTTAAGTGGGCAAATCACTTTAGGAAGCCCATTAAGACCCCACCCAGGAATGGAAATAGCTCGGATACTTTTTAAAAAGAATGAAAAGTGGAGGCACGATGTTGGAAAACATGGAGTTTTCGTTACAACGAGCACGTTTTCTTTTGTCGGTGAGCAAGCAGCCTCCAGCCCCTTCCTTGGGTCCCACCTGGATGATTAATTCACCCTCCGCCACTGTGGTGCCATCCCCATGTCCGTGTCTATGTGCACCCCCCCCCGTGCCTTGCTGACCGTGGGAACATTTGTGCCTTGGGGCCCCGGAGAAGTTTCTTTGCATGGATTGCATATTAAGCCCCCCTTGTAGGCATTTCTTCTGACCACCAGAAGAAGTGGTCTACCTCCTTTTGAGGATGCTTGAAAATTTGGGATGTTTTCAAACTGGTTTAGTGGTTGGGAATGATGGGCTGTTGTTTCCTACCCCCTCCTTTTCTCTGCAGCCTCCCTGTGGGCTCCCCAGAGTCTGTGTTTAGTGTGTGCATAATATCTCTATCATCTATCTATCTATCTATCTATCTATCTATCTATCTATCTATCTATCTATCTATCTATCTATATCTATCTTTCTATCTATCTCTATCTTTCTATCTATCTCTATCTATCCATCCATCTATCTATCTATCTATCTATCTATCTATCTATCTATCTATCATCTCTATCATCTATCTATCTACCTATCTACCTGTCTGTCTGTCTTCTGTCTGTCTGTCTATTTATCTTTCTATCTCTATCATCTATCTATCTATCTATCTATCTATCTATCTATCTATCTATCTATCTATCTATCATCTCTATCATCTATCTATCTATCTATATCTACCTATCTACCTGTCTGTCTGTCTATATATCATCTCTATCATCTATCTATCACCTATCTACATCTATCTATCTAACTATCATCTATCTATCTATCATCTCTATCTATCTGTCTGTCTGTCTGTCTGTCTATCTATCTTTCTATCTATCATCTATCTCTATCTATCTATCTCTATCTATCACCTATCTATCTATCTATCTATCTATCTATCTATCTATCTATCTATCTATCTATCTATCTATCTATCTATCATCAATGCAAAGAAGTGGGGGCATCACTTATTCTTTTGGCATCTTGGCCAAGTGCAACCTCTCAAGGCACGCTCTGCTTGGGGGGTGGGGGGTGGGGCGGGCGGTGAATGCAGGATTTTGTGCACCAGGCCAATCACCAGACGTGTCGTTTTCTCTGTAACATGTGAATATATCAAAACAGCTTTGATCTTCTGCATCTCTGATAAGGAGCAGGAAATTCCTTCTTTCAAGACTGCTCCACCAGGGGGTTCCTCCTTCTGATCAAGGTTTTAGCGCCACCTGGTGGATAATCCACAGTGCTCCCAAAATTCACCGAGGTGGGTGGGGACAGAAATCAGGATTTTAGAGATGCTCAGGTGGGGCATGGCCCAAAAAAGATTGGGAACCACTACTCTAAACCATGGGTCCGGAACTGGCAGGAGGTATATGGCGGAAAACAAAAGGACAGCAATCAATCAACCAAACAATCAATCAATCAATATTAAAATATAAAACTCCAGAGTTGTTTAGCTGGATCAGGGTAGGAACATTGGAACTTTTATTATTTATTTATTTTTTTACAAAAGCTTTCTGTAAATAAATACGATAATGTAAATGGTATTCTTGGGGAAAATGGTTGGGTTTTTTTTCCTACCTAGGTAAAGGCAGATGTAGGGTTTCCCGCTTGGGCAGGGGGTTGGACTAGATGACCTGCAAAGGTCCCTTCCCACTCTGTTAATCTGTTAAATATCCCCGATTCTCTGGTCGCAGGACTGATGTAAAAGGTGGGAAATTGTTCCTTTAAACCAAAGGGGGAAGAACTTAGAGGCCCAACATCACCTTAGTGCCCCCCCATATTCAGCCTCTCAAAACTCAGTGCAATCGTAACAGTAGGAAAAAAAATAATTATTCTCCAGTCACGTATTGGCTGCAATGAATTAATCTGTACCCCGTTTTAATTGCATGGAAATGTCAATAAAATAGTCGTCCTTCTACCCGCTGCCCGCTAACGGCTTTGGAAAACAGCTACAAAAATCTAGATCACCTTTGTCCAAAATTGTCTCACCATCAAGATGTCTCACGTTTCTTTCATCCCAACGGGTTAAGGCTGAAAAAAGGGCTCCTAGAGATGGACTAGTCAAGAAATATGGGGAGGAAATGTAACATTTTGCACAGGAATCTTCAGATCTAGCCTTGCTTTCTCTGCAACCACTCACTGTAGCCTTAGTCAAAGACTCTATCACGCTTCAACGGAACGGAGTCCAGGGTCTTCCTTTCCTAGGGTCCTGAGCTGGGGCAGGTCTGACACATGGTGGACCCAATTCAACTCTTGAGGTTGAAGAGATCCCGGCCCCAAAAATGCCACCACGTGAGTCAGGTCACATCTGTGGCTCCCATGCATCTGGCTTGGTGCCCGGATCTCTCCCGCGGTTGGGGTCTGGCAGATTTAGCAGGAGCAGGGCGCTCCCTGAAACTGTCTTCAGGCTGAGCACGCTGGGCATGGTGTCCTGCAACTTGGGGCTCCCCAAGCTCTGCAGACAAGGCTGCCACTCTGAGGCAACCTCCAGCCTCTCGCTCTTCAGGCTGTGCGTGCGCTGGTGCTTCAAGAGGTTGGCACTCTGGCCAAAAGCCCGCTGGCAGTGCGGACATTTGAAGGGGCCCTCACCCATGTGGATGCGCCGGTGCCGGATGAGGGTGGAGCCCCGGCGGAAGGTCTTCTCGCAGTGGGGACACTGGTAGGGCTTCTCCCCGTCGTGCAGACGCTGATGGCGCATGTACTCCTGCCGGCAGGTGAAGGTGGAGCTGCAGGAGGCGCAGGGGTACGGCTGCTCCCCGGTGTGGATACGTTGGTGCCAGACGAACTCCTGCTTGTAGCGGAAGCTCTTCTCACAGCCCGGACACCGGTAGGTCTTCTCTCCAGCATGGCTCCTCTGGTGCCAGGTGAACTCTTGCTTGAAACGGAAGCTCTTCTCGCACGCCGGACACTTGTACGGCCGGTCGCCGACATGGGCCCGCTGGTGCCACATGAACTCCTGCTTGTAGCGGAAGCTCTTCTCGCATTCCGGGCACTTATATGGGCGCTCCACAGAGTGGGTCTTCAGGTGCCACGTCAGCTCCTGCTTGAAGCGGAAGTTCTTCTCACAGGTGCCACATTTGTGGGGCCATTCCGCCGTGTGGGTGCGTTGGTGCCACATCAGCTCCTGCTTGTGCCGGAAGACTTTGGCACAATCGCTGCACCGGTAGGTCTTTTCTCCAGTGTGCACCTTCTGGTGCCAGCTGTACTCGTGAGCATATCGGAAGGTCTTGTCACACTTCCCGCACTTGTAGGGCCTCTCCTCCTTAAGGACACCCCTCGGCCGGACGCCCGGCATGGAGCAGTGCGCACAGGAGCACGGCAACACCCCAGTTTGGCTCGGGGACTCAGCAGTGGTCAGGGGGCTCTTAACACAGCCGTTCTCACATTCAGGGCACACCTGCCCCAATGCTCCATGGGGCACCACTGTCGGGAGAACAGAATGGACGGGAAAACATTTCTGGCACTGGGTGCAAATCAACAGCATCTCCTCGTGGCTGGCTGGCTGGGGGGCAGCCACACTCAGAGGCCAGAAACTGCTTTCCTCAGCCCCTCGAGGTGCGGCTTGAAATTCCACTGGCCGAGCCTGCTCACCCACCAGGCTGCAGTTCACCCACTTGGACCCCGCGTCCCAGGGAGACAGAACAGCCGCTCCATTTACTGTGGAATCTGGCGTGAAGGAGCCTCCCGGCCACCAGGGCTGCTCAGAGAGGGACCCGTGTTCCTGGGTCCCCTTCCGGGCTGACGGGCAGCAAGGCAGTCCTGTGTCTCCTTCATCCAGCGAAGGCTCCTGTTTGATGGTCGGCTGGCCACCTGCTGGGACAAGAGACCGAACAAAAGCACTACGCAAATGCAGGAGAGCAAAAATACCATATAATTTGGAGGGGGGGGAGGAGAGAAATGCCACATTACGAGCCACGGTGGCACAGCAATTAGAGTGCAGTGCTGCCGGCTACTTCTGCTGACTGCCGGCTGCCTGCAGTTCGGCAGTTCAAACCTCACCAGGCTCAAGGTTGACTCAGCCTTCCGTCCTTCCGAGGTGGGTAAAATGAGGACCCAGAGTGCTTAGAGAGGGCTGGAAAGCTCTGCAAAGCGGTATATAAGTCTAAGTGCTATTGATATTGATATTACAAACTCTGAATAGGGGAGTTCTCACAAAATGGCCATCATGGGGACCGGGGTGGGGTCTTTAAAAAGCACCTGCCTCCAAGGGTGCGGCCCGTTGCAACGCCACATTTGGCACCGGGGAGATTTCCTACCAACCCAATCTTCTTTGGCTGTCAAAGATCCTGAACTGATCCAGGTGGGGTTGGACTAAGTGACCTCTAAAGATCCCCTCCAACCCCTTGATCCTAACAAGGCAGTGGTGAGCTGGCCACCCCACATCACTTCCCTGCCCCCAAATCGATTCACACTCCCACCGCAGAAATCCCCAACTTCTCTGGAATTGGAGACCGGCCCTGATTTCTTCTCCTGATTCCGGGTTCCGCAGCTACAGACGTACCCCCAAAATTGTCCTTTGACTCCCCTCTGGATTTTGGGAACTGTGCTCTCCCCGCACAGGGTTTCTCCCAGCCTTCAATCTGCAGGAGGACGCTGGGGGGCTGCGCGGCGAGACCTGGGGGGGGGGCAAAAGGGAGAGACGGGTGTGAATCCTGCCCCTCCGCTGCCCTCCAACAGGCCTTTCTCTGGATTTATTTTTCCTTTCCTTTCCATGAAACTCCCCCATAAAAAATTGTTACCTAGAGACACCAGGGCTTCATAATTGTCCTTCATGACATCCAGGTAAAGGCTCTTCTGCCCATCGGTCAGAGTCTCCCACTCTTTGGCAGAAAAGTAGATCGCCACCTCCTCAAAGGTCACCAGATCCTGAAAAAAGGAACCCAAGAGAGGTCAACGCTGGCTCACAGTTTCCCTTCGGGATCTCTTGGGGTGGTAGCCGAGCGAATAAAAGCATCTGGCAATCAAGGTTGACTCAGCCTTCCATCCTTCCGAGGTAGGTAAAATGAGGACCCGGATTGTGGGGGGCAATAAGCTGACTTTGTATATATAAAAAAAGAACACCGCTTGGGGGGGGTCGAAAGCCCAACTAAGCAGGTATATACAAAAATTGTATATACAATTGCTTAACGCATTGTAAGGCGCCCTGAGTCTCCGGAGAAGGGCGGCCTATAAATCGAACCAATAAATAAATAAAATCGCTGGGTGGTGTTTTTTTTTCCTGATTTCCTTTCCCCAATTTGCATAATTTATATTATTTTTTTAAAAAAAATTCTGTTATTCTGCTAACACGGATGTGGTGGCTCAGTGGCTAAGATGCTTAGCTTGTCAATCATAAGGTGGGCGTGGCAGGGGAAGGATACTGTAAAATCTCCATCCCCACTCCACTCCAGGGGAAGGTTACCGCAAATTCCCCATTTCCTCCCGATCAGCTGGGACTCCGGAGGCAGAGAATGGATGGGGGGACGGGGCCAGTCAGAACTTTTATTACCGGTTCTCCAAACTACTCAGAATTTCCGCTACCGGTTCTCCAGAACTGGTCAGAACCGGCTGAAGCCCACCTCTGTTGGGGAGCAAGCCTGGTTGAGCGGAGGGCAGCCTTACCTGTAGGGTGGGGTCTCCAGCCATCTCTCTCTCTCTCTCTCAAGGTGAGGCGTTGCCAATCTCTCTACGATCCAAGTCCTTTTGTTCTTGCAAGGAGATCAGAATCAATACGACAGTTTTGATCAACGCGGGACGGTTTCTTCTTCGGTGTTAGGCAGATCTCGGGTGGGACAGGCCAGCTCAAAACCAGGCGTCTCCCAGGAGGATTGCAAACCCATCACCTGCTATAGGATGCGGGCGTGAGGGGAGGGTGGAGGGGAGAGGAGACATAAGGAAAAATGTCCTGACCGTGAGAACAATTAACCAGTGGAACAACTTGCCTCTAGAGTCTAGAATTGTGATGGTGAATCTATGGTATGTCTCTCTCTCTCTCTCTCTCTCTCTCTCTCTCTCTCTCTCTCTCTCTCTCTCTCTCTCTCTCTCTCTCTGTCTGTCTGTCTGTCTCTCTCTGTGTGTGTGTGTGTGTCTCTGTCTCTCTGTCTCTGTGTCTCTCTGTCTCTCTCTCTGTCTCTCTCTCTGTCTCTCTCTGTCTCTCTCTCTGTCTCTGTCTCTGTCTGTCTCTGTCTCTCTCTGTCTCTGTCTCTCTCTCTGTCTCTCTCTCTGTCTCTCTCTCTCTGTCTCTCTGTGTCTCTCTCTCTCGCTGTGTCTCTCTGTCTCTCTCTCTTTCTCTGTCTCTTTCTCTGTCTCTCTCTTTCTCTGTCTCTCTCTCTCTGTCTTCTCTGTGTCTCTCTGTCTCTCTCTCTCTCTCTCTATCTATCTCTGTCTCTCTCTGTGTGTGAGTCTCTCTCGGTCTCTCTGTCTCTCTGTCTCTCTCTCTCTCTGTCTCTTTCTCTGTCTCTGTCTCTCTCTGTGTGTGTGTGTGTCTCTCTCTTCTCTCTGTCTCTCTCTCCCCCCCGACCCACCTCTCAGGGTTGTCGTTGCAGGGGAAAACAGGAGGGGGAAGGAATATTAAGTATGCTTGCCTTGAGTTACTTACAAAAAAACATAATGCAGGTGGGATCCAAAAAAATAAGAAACAGCCACCTTAAAAAAAAAAACATGTGAAGAGATTTCCCTATTCAAAATATGCCTACTCGCGCACACACACACAAAAGCACACACACACACATACACATCCCAGCTGGAAGCGCTACAGCAGAAAGCTATGGGGGGTGGGGGTGGGAGAGGCACCTCATGCATGCAAATGTTATGCAAACACATTGCATAGATTAAGTATGCAAATCAGCCACAGCCTCTGGCTCCAGAAGGGTTTCCATGGCGGCTCTCCCAGCTGGTCGGCCACCATTGCTACAATGGCTTGAAGATCTGGGGCTGAGAAAGGGGGGGGGCATTTGCAGACTGGACACCCCCTCCTTCCCTTCCTCCTCCCCAAATATCACACCTGCCTTCTGCAGAGCATTAGCAAAAAGGTGGTTTCCAGACTGGCATGACGTCATCCAAAATTCACCCCCCCCTCCGCTGCGTGATGAGTAAACCCACTCATGTTTTCCCTCTCATCCTGCATATTGAATATATATATATATATATATATATATTTCCCCCCCAGGGTTACCTTAACTTTATTAATATCAAGGAACGTTTTAATGCCGTTTTGTGCTTGGAAGGCCGCCGAGAGTTCTTTTTAATAGGCCCAGCCTATTTCATAAATAAATTTGCAGCACAATCTGGAGGGGCCGTTTTTAAATTCGGTTCCAAGATGCGTTCCAAAAGAAACGGCTCGAACCACTAAAATAGAAATTGGATTTTTTTTCTCATCCAGCAGGATTCTTTAAAGCCACTTTAAAAAAAAAAAAAGTTTAGAAAGTTAAGGAAAAAGGTCTCCTCGGCCTACCTTTTCCTCGTTAACATGCCTTAACTGATCTCAAATTATCAGCCTCTGAAAAGCATCTAAAATTCCTATTTTCCCCGAGATCATATTTTTTGCGTCGAACAATTTAAATCCCTTTAAACTCGGAAGTAACACCCTGTTTCCCCGAAAATAAGACTATCCCCTGATAATAAGCCCAATCGGGGTTTTGAACGGATGCTCTAAAATAAGCTTCCCCCCGAAAATAAGCCCTCCCTGAAAATATTTAAACGCAGAGCTGGAAATCAGGTAAGACGGCAAGAGGAGCCCCATCTTGCTCCATGCGCCCCAAAATAATAAGACCTCCCCAAAAATAAGGCCAAGCACTTATTTCGGGGTTAAAAAAAATAAATGACAGGGTCTTATTTTTGGGGAAACACAGCAGGTGCATTTTGCGGGTGGGAAAATAATGGCGGATTTCCTTTGAATGGACTGAGGGTTGATCCCACGCACTTTGCCAGCAGTCAGCTCAGGGATGCCAATGCCAGCTGGCAGGGAAGGCTGGGATTTGTAGTCTCCAAATTGGGAGGCCCTGAACTGAAGAAGCCTGGCTCAGCCCGTCCTTTGCATGCAGCCCTTCTCTCCTGCCCTCCGGCTTAGATGCTTCCATCCTCTTGGGACCCCGAAGAACTGGGCCTGGCTAGTCTAGGGAAGAGAAGGACCAGGGGAGACAGGAGAGCATCTTCCAATATTTGAGGGGCTGCCCCAGAGAGGAGGAAGGGGGTCAAGCTATTTTCCAAAGCACCCGAAGGCCAGACAAGGAACAATGGATGGAAACTGATCAAGGAGAGATTCAACCTGGAAATAAGGAGGAATTTTCTGACAGTGAGAAACGATCAACCCATGGAACAGAAGCTGCCACCGGAAGTTGTGTGGGGCTTCACCACTGGAGGTTTTTAAGAAGAGACTGGACAGTCCCTGAGATGGTATTGTGCTTGAGCGAGGGTTGGACTAGAAGACCTCCAAGGCCCCTTCTATTCTATTCCGTATTCTGTATTTATTCTGTATTCTGTATTCTTATTCATTCAATTCTAATTCTAATAATTCTAATTCTAATTCTAATTCTATCCTACCCTATTATTCTATTCTATTCTATTCTATTCTATTCTATTCTATTCTATTCTATTCTATTCTATTCTATTCTATTCTATTCTATTCTATTCCATTCCATTCCATTCCATTCCATTCCATTCCATTCCATATTTTCTATTCTATCCTATCCTATCCTACTCTACTCTACTCTATTCTACTTCCTTCTTTCCTTATTCTATTCCACTCCACTCCACTCTAATCCTATCCTATCCTATCCTATCCACTCTCTCCTCCTCCTCCTCCTCCTCCTCCTCTCCTCCTTCTCTTTCTTCTCCTCCTACTCTCTCCTTCTCCTTCTCCTCCTCATTTCCTCTCCTCCTCCTCCTCTTTCCTCTCCTCTTCCCCTCCTCTTCTCCTCCTTCTCCTTCTTTTCCTCCTCTTTCTCCTCCTATCCTATCCTATCCTATCCTATCCTATCCTATCTTCCATTCCTCTTCCTCTTCCTAGTCTTCCTCTTCCTCTTCTATTCTTTCGCTGGCAGAAGCCCCAAATCCAGGCCGTCCTCAGTTTACGACCACAATCGATTTTTTTTGGCTCTCCGTTGCTAAGCGCAAAAACTCCCACGGCCGGGCTGAAAGTTGCACCCCCCACCCACCTCCACCGCCCAGGGGGTTCCCCACGCCGGATCTCTGGCCCAGGAAGCCCCCCCCCCCCCCCCAGGAAGACACCCCCCACCCCCCCCCGCGCGCCTGATCCACCTGGGACCAAACCCAGCTTTACCTGCCCGCGTCTCCTCTCCACCCCTGGAAGCGCCGCAGCCCGTGCCCGGCTCAGTGCTGGCCGGCTGGGCACAGCCTCTCTCTCCCCTCCGTTGCCGAGCGGTTGGCAGGCCGAAGGCGGCGGGGAGGGCTCGCCAGCCTTAACCCCTCGCTCGCCGCCAGGTAGGCAGCCCGCCATCCGCACACCGCCCCCGCCTGGCAGGGAAGCCGCGCCCGGCGCCCGGCTGGCAAAGCAGGAGGACGGGCGCGGCCCCGGGACTCCCTTCTCCCAGGCCTTCCCTGGCGAAGAAGTCCGTGGAAGCGGGAGCCCCGGTGAGCCACGCGCGTCCCGCGTCTCGCAGGGGAGCATCCCGCTTCTTTTAGAGGGAGAAGGCTCCGTGGAAGGGAAGGGAGTGGGCCAGCTGTCGCTGTCCGGGTGCTGCTGGCCGGACGGGGGTTTTCCACGAATGTTTTTTTTCCCCCACCCACCCACTCGCGTTTTTTTTCCGCGGGGAAGCCACGATCTGCTCACCTGGCTTTGGCGAAGGAGGGGAATCCCGCTCACTCGCTCCACTCGCCCACCGGCGGGGGTGAGAAACAGGCGAGCGCGGCCGGAGCCCACGCGCGATCGCGGCTTTTTATCGGGCTGGGCTTGGAAAGAGGCTGCGGGAGCCGGGGGTCGGCGGCGAACTCCGCGAACCGGAGTAAGTCGGGCAACCGAATTGAGCCATTCAACCGGTGTGTGTGTGTGTGTGAGAGAGAGAGAGAGAGAAGGAGGGAGGGAGAAAGAGAGGGAGGGAGGAAGAGAGAAAGAGGAGAAAGAGAAAGGGAGAAAGAAGGGGAAAGAGAAAGAGGGAGGGAGAAAGAGAAAGGGAGGGAGAAAGAGGGAGAAAGAGAAAGGGAGAAGAAAGAAGAAGGAAAGAGAAAGAGGGGAGAAAGAGAAAGGGAGGGAAGGAGAATGAGAAGAGAAAGAGAAAGGGAAGGAGAGAAGAGGGAGAAAGAGAAAGGGAGAAAGAAGAAGGAAAGAGAAAGAGGGAGAAAGAGAAAGGGAGGGAGGGAGAAAGAGGGAGAAAGAGAAAGGGAGGGAGAAAGAGAAAAGGGAGGAGAAAGAGAGAGAAAGAGAAAGGGAGGGAGAAAGACGGAGAAAGAGAAAGGGAGGAAAAAAGAGAAAGAAAGAGGGAGGGTGAGAAAAGAAGGGAGGGAGAAAGAGAAAGAGGGAGGGAGAAAGAGAGGAGACAGAGAGAGAGAGAGAGAGAAGAGAGAGAGAGAGAAAGAGAGTGCAAAGACGAGAGAGAAAGAGAGAGAGCTTTCGAGCTCCAGGGCTTGTCTTAAGCTCAAACTCGGTCAACTGGTTTGTGCTTCAGGATGTCACGCAACCCCAGGCGGAAGCTGACACACAATTGGGCGCCTGCAGCCGGTGCCACTTGCAAGCCAGTTGCTGGGGGAGGGGGAAACCAGGGGGGTCCCCAGCCCCCCCTGCTGCTCCCCCCCCCCCCCAAGGAACTCCTGGGAGCAGATCCGGCCTCAGACGGTTACAAGAACCGAGGAGGAGAAGACAGATCAGTTCCGTCTGGGTGGGCTAGATGGCCACATGGGTTCCCTTCCCTGCCGTTTCATCGGAAGCCTCCACCACGTTGGGATGGCAACCTGGAGAAGGGCAGACAACCCAAAAGAATAGGTCGCTCATCTGAATGTGGAAATACTCCAAGTCCCATCCTGGAGTATTGTGCTTCACACCCAGGGCAAAAAACATCAACACTTCCGGGTGTGACTGACAACTCGTGCAGACTAATAATAATAATAATAATAATAATAATAATAATAATAATAATAATAGCAAAATTGCACAAACTGATTACAAAGCTAGACACAACCGAGTTGCTAAATTAATCCACTGGTCATTATGTAAAAAATACGATTTACCTGTATCCAAAAAGTCGTGGCGACATAAAGTGGAAAAAAGTTATAGAAAATGAGAAGGTGAAGATCTTGTGGGACTTTCAAATACAGACGGATCGTCATTTGGAACACAACACGCCAGATATCACAGTTGTCGAAAACCAAAACGTACAATTTATTGACATCGTGGTACCAGGAGATGCCAGAGTCGAAGAAAAAGAACTGGGAAAAAATCACGAAATATCGCGACCTGGCCATCGAAACTACACGGCTACGGATGAAACATGTAACAGTGATACCCATTGTCATCGGGGAACTTGGTACCATGTCCAAGAATTTTATAACATACATCAGCAAATTGCAGCTTCCCGCAATAACACCAGCGGAACTGCAAAAAGCTGCGCTATTTGGAACATCGTACATCTTAAGAAGGTACTTGGTTGATAACTAGGACGCTGGCAGCAACCCCTATCAACCATTAGCCCCAGTCAATGGTATTTTTGAATGTCAGTTGACTGAGTTTCATGTTTATTCATTAAAAATGAAACTCAGTTGTTGTTGTTGTTGTTGTTGTTGTTGTTGTTGTTGTTGTTGTTGTTATTATTATTATTATTATTATTATTATTATTATTATTATTATTATTTGCATTTTTGAATGTTCAGTTGACTGAGTTTCATGTTTAATGAATTAAAGAGATGATATGATGAGGAAGGTGAAGAAGAAGAAGAAGAAGAAGAAGAAGAAGAAGAAGAAGAAGATAAGAAGAAGAAGAAGAAGAAGAAGAAGATAGAAGAAGAAGAAGAAGAGATACTTAGTTGATCCCTGGGACGCTGGCAGCAACCATATCAACCATTAGCACCAGTTAATGGTATTTGTGATGCATTTTTGAATGTTCAGTTGACTGAGTTTCATGTTTAATGAATAAAGATAATAATAATAATAATAACAACAACAACAAACAACGTACGATATATCACACTACAAACATACACACTCATTCTGTATATACATATACATATTTATTTTGTACATAAGTACATTTTATACATATACTGGTACACGTGCATATCATATATACACCTATGTGCACACATAATATCTAGATAAACACTGATATATCACATGTTAGGTTCTTGGGAGGAACTCGATGCCTAGGAAGGCCAACACCAACCAGCTAAAGAACTGATAGTTGTGACTCCACATTGTTGTGTACAAGGAGTATATTTGATGAAGCATCCTAGAGATTAGGCAGCGCTTCACTGAATTGCCTAAGCACTCACTTAAGCAGCTTGCTTAGCAACAGAAATCCTGTTTCCAATTGTGGTTATAAGTCGAGGACCTACCTATACAGAAACGAGGGACTCTCCAACTTTGCATCTCAACAGCCCCCTTCAAAGACGGCTCGTTTGCTTTTCCTGCACGCACAGATGTGATCCCCACAATTCCACAATCGTCCGATTCTTTGATTTCGTTTTCTTTCGTTTTCCGAAGCAAAGTTTTGGCCTCTTGTCAACGTTGGCAAATCATGGATGGAACGAACAAAGCCTCCTCTTTCCCCACTTTCTTCTCGGGGTGGATCCAGGGCTTACCCAACCTTCGTGGAAGCTCCCTGGGGTGCCCAGGCTGCCCCCCCAAATAACCACCGTTCTCTGCCCGTAGCTTCCGGATCCGGTTTTGCAAATGATGCTGCACACCTCCGTTGGCCGGGAGGCTCTGGCTGGCGCCCAGGGAGGAGGAGCAGAGAGTGCCCGATGGGTGGCATAATTGGCTCCATCCCTAGGGAAAAGGGGTGGGGGGCAGAGAAGGGTCAGCGTCAGAAGGCTTCCTCAGCAGGAAGCCGACCAAGATGGCAGCCGCAATGGTGCAGTCAAAGCCCATAAACTACCTGAGCATTTGAGTTTGCTCAGCTCATCGAATTATAGGACAGTTTCTCCTTTCTTCCCCCCCCAAAAAGGAAAGCTAAAAAAACGAGGTCAAGGAGCATCCAGATGTTCGTCTGCAAAGCAGCAGTCTAATCAGGTCTCCAGACCAATCCTTCGGGGCAGGAAGCTCCGGTGCATCATCAATTTGGCATTTTTCAATTGGGGCTCAAAACTGGGAGAGCCAGTCTTAAGTCCAACGTGGCTGATGGGCAGGTTGGCCACGGAAGGGTTGGTACCGATGGCCTTGGAGGTTCTTCTGACAACTGGAAATGGGTCTGTCCCAAGGGTGGGTTGCTGGGGGTTCTCAAGGGTTTGGGAGAACCTCTAGCTAAGATTCCGTGCAGTTCGGAGAACCCCCAAATCTCACTCCTTTGAAGCCCACCCCTGGCCTTTCCCATCCTTTGCCAGCCATGCTGGCTTTTGCAAGAGCAAACCATCTGGATGTTGGCAATAGGGGAGACCTTGTAACCCCTCCCTCCCCACCTGGGGAACCTCTCCCCTTTTTACCGTAGGGAAAGGTCTTCCTTCTTCTGACCCAGGAGTTGCCAGATTCTTGCAGGAACTGCTGGATAAACATCTGGAAGGGAGACGCACAGTTGTGAACATTCCAAAGCGAGAAGCTTAACTAGAGTTGGAAAAACTCAGAAAACTTGTGAATAGGACATGAAAAAGCAACAGGGGCCTAAAGCCACGTACAGAAGGCTGGTATTACTTCTAGAGATCTACTGCCTTCCTTCAATCCAAAATCGCATTGTTGCTGATCACACAACAAGGAGGAGCCTGTTCCTAGTGCACGCATGCACAGAGCTGCCGGAAGGCAAGAGCAGTTAAAGCAAAAGGGACGACTTGGGAGTAAGGTCAGGAGATGATTGGCCCCTCCCATAAGGCTTAATAGAGAAACAGAGGCACTTGGGCCTTTTGTAGGAAAGCAATGTTGCTAACTCTGTTTCCAGTCGGCATCTCTTGTTTGTTTTTGAACTTCATGGGGCTTTGCCAAGAAAGGCCTTTGGCAGGGTGTCAAAGAAGATAAAGGTTGGTGATTATTCTGAAGGACTTCTTCCAAAGGACTTGTTTTGCAACTAATTGGGAAGCCCACCGTAATATCTCACAAGGACCAGCACAAGAGAAATGAGAGAGGGGAAGGAGTAGAGAGAGAGGAAGGGAGAAGAGAGGACAGGAGAGGGAGAGAGAGAGAAGAAAGGGAAAGGAGAGGAAGAAAAGGGACGGGAAAGAGGAGTAGGAGAGAAGGTTAGAAGGGGGAAGAAGAGAGGAGTGGGGGAAGGGAAGGGTAAGTAGGAAAGAGAAGGAGAGGAAGAACAAAGAAAGTAGGGGGAGATAGAGGAAGGAAGAGAAGGGGAGGAGAAGAAGAAAAATTGTGGCAAAACAAAGAAGGGTAAATGGTAAAAGAGCAGCCCCGAATAAGTAAAAATTAAAAATGAAAGTTAAAAGATAAGATGAATGAAAAATGGTGGATAGATGACTGTACATGTAAATATGTTTATGAGAAACAAAAATTGTGAAGACCTTTTTATTCCAGCAGGCGGGCTTGGCCTAATCTCTTCCCTTTTAAATATGTAAATTTTAATCTGTTTTTAAATTATTGGGGTGTTTTAATCTGTCTGGGCCAAAATAATTTAATTTGATTTTATCTGGTTTTTAAATTTTTTATGTCTATGTTATTTTATTGTTTGGCTGTTCACCGCCCTGAGTCCTTCGGGAGTAGGGCGGTATACAAATCGAATAAATAAATAAATAAATAAATAAATAAATAAAAATAAAAACTTTTTTTTCAAAAAAAAAAAAAGAAGTTGGGGGCAACCAGTTTCACATTTTGTGGTTACCGGTTCGCCCTGCGCGCGCACGCCTGCGCCCAACCTTCCATGCACGTGCTTTGCTCGCGCACGCATCTTCTGCGCATCCGCCCAGCCTCAAAACCGTGCCTAAATAGGACGGCATAGAGCCGGGGAGGGTGAGCGGAGCCACCCGCGATCTCTGCTACCGGTTCTCCCAAACTGATACGAACCGGCTGAATACCGCCTCTGGGGGCAACTAAGTTCTGTCCTCTCTTGCGACACTCACCCCTCTGGCTCCGGATCCAGTCCCTCCTTCGGTTGGTTGATGGGTGTGTGATCTGCCTTCCCACAAGCCACCTTCTTCTGGGCTGCACGCAACTCGCCAACTCTCTCTTCTGGTGATGGGCCCAACCTGGCCTTGTCTCTCTCCTGTCCTTCCTTCAACCAGCTGCGCTGCAGCGTGAGGATGTCACTCATGTGTTCCTGCAGGGAAGAATAAAATTTGCAGGGACTCCTTTCCCTTTTTTTAAAAAAAACCTGTTTGGCTCCATTGTCCCAAAGGTGTGTTGTTGTTGTTTTCCCAAGAGGTAACTGGACTTTCTGGTTTTTCTTTGAAGACTTTTCGCTTCTCATCCGAGAAGCTTCTTCAGCTCTGACCGGATGGTGGGGAACGGAAGGATTTCTACTCCTTGCAGACAGAACTGGTCATTTGCATCCTTTTAGAGAGTCGTTGAGGCCACCAGTGGACTGCCGGTTTGAAAGAGGGGGTCAAAGAGGCCATCTATGCCCTCCCTCAACAGAAGGGGAGGGATACGACCTCATCTATCTCCAGTCTACAATACTGTCCTTTCAGTTCCAAGAAGGCTCCACACCCAATTTGCACCAGAGGACACAGAGAAACCTACAAGTGGCCTCAAGGACTCTCTAAAAAGGATGGGGATGTCTTATTATCAGGGGAGGTCTTATTTTCAGGGAAACAGGGTATCCTCGCCACCAAAACCACCAATGCACCGAAGCGAGTCTCAAAAGCAAAGATATCCCACAGCCCCCAACTACCTGGGCTTAAGGAGTGACTCACCTGGACCAGCTGCTCGTTCAGGGCTTCCAGAAAGGACCGGCTCTCCAGGTGAAGCTGCTCTTTCTGTTGCCTCAACTCCACCTCCTGAAGAACGGGGAAAGTCGAGCCATTACACAACTTGGGATAACTCTTGTTAAGTCGGGGATGAACAATAATCCGCTCAGAAGTAACTCCGCCACCTTTCATGGTTCTGTTCTGATCTAGGCTCCCTTAAAAAGCAAAAAGCAGAGTCTTGGTCCTGTTGTGACCGAGGCCCTCGTAGTGATGACCAAACACAATTCAGTCCTCAACAAACTTATTTTATTAAAAAAGCTGAGAATGAATTCATTCTCAGCTTAGTCCAAAACAAAAGTCTTCATAACCAGTCCGTCGGCCTTATCACCAACCTTTGATGTCTTTGGCAACCGGCCAAAAGCTTTTCTTGGCAAAACCCCCACGAGGTTCAAGAGACACTGACAAGAAGCACTGGAATCAACGTTGCTTTTCTACAAAGATCCCAGGAGCCGTTGCTGCTCTTTTAAGCCTTATGGGAGGGGCCAATCATCTCCTGGCCTTACTCCTGAGTCGTCCTTTTTGCTTCAGCTGCTCTTGCCTTCTGGCAGCTCTTCGCATGCCTGTATTAGGAACAGGCTCCTCCTGTTCCTCTGCCTCTCTACTGTCTGCCTCTGGAGGCTCCGGAGTCCGCGTATCGCTCCCAGATGGCCCTGGCCCCATCTCTGCCTCCGACATAGAGCCCTTGTCCTGACTCCAGGACTGGCCCATGGTCCTCCCCAGTCTCCTCACTGTCCGACTCCACTGCCAGGTCCGCAGGCTGCTGGCGGACCACAACAGGCCCCAGCAAAACCCCTTTTATTTACACGACTGAATTCCTTTCATTCACAGTCAGCAAGGCCTGTCCAAACAGTCTTTCAGAGGAATATTTATCAACACAAACCTTATCTCACTTGGAAAGCTGCCAGGTAACTAGTTTCCAAATGCAGGGCAAGGCAAAACTTGGCACAGACTCACGGACAGATCTTCCCACTCTTGATTCGACCGACTGAACAAATTGTTTCCTGCAAAAGCCCACTCCCAGTTTGCTCCTCTTTTGTTTCCTATGGGAGGGGCCAATCACCTCCAAGGTGTGGCATTACTCCTAAGTCAACTCTGCTTTCGGAGTTGTTCTTGACTTCTGGCAGCTCTGTGCATACACACACTGGGAACAGGCTCCAGCTGTTCCTCTGCCTCACTGCTAATTCCCTCTCTGCCTCTGATGCAGAGCCCTCATCCGAGCTTTCCCCAGCCCCCAGGACTGGCCCAAGTTCCTCCCCAACCTCCTCACTGTCCGATTCTGCTGGTCACCGGCAGGCCACAACAGGTTCTCGGGGCCTGACAGACCCACTCACCTTCTCTCTCTGGATCTGGAAAATACGCTGCCTTTGCCTCTCAAGCTCGTGGTTGAGATCCTGGATGTAACTCTGAATTTCTTCCTTCATCTTTCGCAGGTCCTGGAGGGCGGCGCCAGAGGAGAGAGGAAGGGCACCCCTGGGAAACAAGCAAACACCCGGTCGTGAAATTTGCCTTTTTGCAATTAGGATGTTGTGACAGCATTTCAGGGTATCTACAGGCGATCCTTGACTTACAACAGTTGATTTGGTGACCGTCCCAATTTACAGCGGCACTGAAAAAAGTGACTCACAATCACATCGTTGACACCTTTGCAGCAACCCCACGATCGTGTGACGAAAATTCAGACGCTTGGCCACTGACCCATATTTATGAAATGGCCAGGTGGCCAAATACCTTCACCAAGTTATACAACTGAGCAAAACTTTTAATTAGATATGTGGTTTTATTACCATCCTGTTGGGTTTCCCCCCTCCCCCTTTTCCCATAACAAATTGTTCTGTTAAACTATCTCTTTTTTTTAAGCTGGATTCTTTTTTTATTGTAAAGGCTGGTCAAAGACCATAATAAAGAGATTTGATTTGATTTGACGTACACATGACATCCTCCTGGCAGGTCATGGCCAGAAGGTGTGAAGAGGCAGCTAAAAACAGTTGGTAAATGAAAAGGGCAGCTTTACAAGTTCCCAGGAACCGTCTGGTGTCCCAACATGGGAGAAAACAGGGCTGAAACATTAGCAAGGAACAGAGAAAGAATCGCGCCTGATTAATTTCCCGTTCCTCATTAATATTTCACCCCTATTTTCTTATCAGAATTAAGAAGTCACTGAAACCAGATGTCAGGGTTTCCACCGATGCCTTGATTAAATTATAAGCCTTGAGCCAAGCTTCAAAAGAAATCCAGTTATTTATTAGTCAGTTATTTATTAACTCTGACCCCCACTTAATTTACGTCCCAGCTCTGACTCTGTTTCCCCCCTGCCCCCAAGGTGTGTCATCAGTCACATTCTCCAACAAAGTAATTTCGCGGGTTGTAGAGATCACTCCCCTCCGGCCACTGTGGGTAACTGCGGAGATGACCTTGAAGAGAGGTGGCTGGAATGTGCTTTCGTTTTGACTGAACTGAGATTCCCTCGCTGCAGCTGCAAGGCTCGTTTTCCCATCCCCCTTGCCTATGGCAACTCGAGAGCAGGCCATTCTTAAAACATCCCAGAAAAAGAAAACTCCGCTATTCTACCTGCACAACAGGTGAGGCAGCACGGTTTCCTTCTCAGGAAGGAGTGCCTTCAGCTGCTGACATGCTAAGGTGACCTGAGTGGCCCAAAAATGATCCATCCGGTCAGCCTGGGCCTGAGCTTCCCGTTCCCGGAGGGACATCCGGCTGCATTCCGCTTGTAGGTGTTCTCCTCCTTCTTCCATCTGTTGTAGCTTCGTTCTCATTTCTTCTCTTTCTTGCATCCTTTCCTGGGGGAAGAAGAAACATCCACCCAAGAACCTGTTTCAGGAATCAGAGAAGCTCAGCAAACGGGTTTCTCACTGCTGCGACAGAGGCGACGCTGGGCGTCACCTTTAAAGCCCTCCCTGGCTTGGGATCGGGTTACCTGATTGGTTACCTTCACCTTGTCATTCAAACAGGAGGAAGAAGGTGGGTGTCAGTGTTCCAATAGAAAGCAGGTCTCTGCTTGAGGCAGGTAGATTCCTCAAAAGAACACTTTATTACCTCATATCGGCACAACTGGTGAAAACCGACTCTGAAAGTTCCCACCGTTTTCCCGCTGATTAAAAGTTCCCCCTTTTCCCAAGTCATCAGTCACATTGTCCAATAGAGGAGCTGGCTGGTTGCTTGGTTACTCCAACTCCTCTTCTCCCTGGCCACCTTTGGAATGACCTTGGTTCCCACAGGATAACTTTTTTGTTTTGATTACAAATCCCCCCAGCTTATCTATTTTCCCCCTTCCCTGTCCCTTCTTCTTCCTTGTGGCAACTCTGTGTTAAGGGCCCTGGCAACTTGGCTTTACTGTTAGTTGATTAATTATCTCAGCTGCTGTACGTATGTATTTTCTGGATTTTTAAAATTGTTATCAATTGTTTTATAGCTTTAAAACTTCTTCCTGCGGGTGGGTAGGTGGGTTGTTGTCTCACCTGCTCCAGCTCTTCTCGCAACCTCTGGAGAGCTTCGTCCTTTTCCTTCCGTAGCTCAACCTGGAGTTCTTCCAGGCTGGCTCGTTTCTCCTCTTCCAACAAAAGGGTCTGGTTCTCCAAGCCTTCGATCTTCTGAAACACAAAATGCCCCAATGGGCTTTTCTCACTCCTGCCTTGATATTCCTCGTTGGGTTGACTACCCCAAAGAGCCAAGGGGTTGGGGGAGGGGGAGCTGCCTGGTTCTCCACCAAATTCAGTCAACCATGACTGTAGACCTCCTCACACCCACCCACCACTCGATGGTCCACATCAAGGACCATCAAGGAACCGGAACGACACCGTAAGCTGACCAGAGTAGTGTCTTCATTGCTGCTTGCCTATTTACAAGAATGTTCCTGGATACTAACTACACTGTCTTGGGAACAAACAGACAAAGGCTTCAAGGATCTTACAGAGGGTCTGGCCACTGTCTCTTCTTCCTCTGTAGGGATTCCAAGCTCTCCAGCCTCTTTACTCCACCCGCTACTCTAGTTGGAGATTTGACAACAAAGGTGGAAGAGTTAAGAAGGGCTACGACCCCAAATAAGTAACTCCAAACTCCCAGCACTCTTTTATGAATGGAGTCGTTCAGGCCGCCTCTTCCTGAGTGGCGTGAGCCTCTTCTACCCAGGATGCAACACTGCAGGGCTAACCCTCCTGATCCAAAGATGGTTGGTACTCGATGCCACCCAGTGATGGGATTCAACCGGTGTAACAACCGGTTGGCACCGCGCAGGCGCAGTGCGTTTGAAAACAGCTCTAAAACTTACCTTCTACTGCAGCCCTGGTGAGTAACACAGCTGAGGCACGGCAATCCGCTCTGCCATGCCTATCAGCTGGGCTTCAAACAAAGGAAATATAGCTTGGTATAGTGCAGGGGCAGGTGGGCGGGCCCAGCTGATCGTCAGAGCTACCAATTTGCCCGAACTGGTCTGAACCGGCTGAATCCCACTCAGTGGTGAAATCCGGCCGAATCTATCTGGCTTATGCAAACTGGTAGTGGCGGCGGTGGGAGGCTCCGCCCACCTGCTGGGACATCATTACGTCCCATTTTTGACTCTCTGCGCATGTGCAGAAGAGGCACACGCGTTCATACTCCCAAACCGGTAGTGAAGATAAGTGCATTTCACCGCTGATCCCACCCCTGATGCCACCCAACCTAGTGGCCTGGCTCAGCCCAGAGAGGCTCACCTGACGGAGGTCAGCTGCTTCATTCCGCAAAGCACCGTTGAGTTTCCTTTCTTTCTCCAGGGCTCTTTGGAGATCCACCCGCCTCTTCCGGTCGTGTTCCCCCAGGACTTCCCGCTGCATCTGGAGGGCCGCCTGGGCGTTGGCTTCCCATTTTTTCTGCTCTTGGAGCAACGCATTCTGCACCTGAGATGGACACACAACGAATCAACAGCATGAGGTTGGGGCCCAGGATGGACTGAAGAGTTCTTCAGCCTTGGTGTCATTAAGATCGGTGGACTTCAACTCCCAGAATTCCCCAGCCAGCACAAAAAACATCAACACTTCCGGGTGTGATTGACAACTCGAGCAGAGGAATAATAATGATAATTGCATATTATATATCACATTATAAATACACACACACACTCTATATACACATATACGTATTTATTTTAGTACATTGTACTATATATAGTAGTATAGGGTTTCCTGCTTGAGAAGAGGGTTGGACTAGAAGACCTCCAAGGTCCCTTCCCGCTCTATTCTGATTCAAAGACAGTGGATACCGGCAGAGACAGAGATTGAACTAAATCAACTCCAAGCTCCCTCTCACGCTACGATTCTGTGTAAGGTAAAGTTAAAGGTTCCCCTCGCACATATGCGCTAGTCGTTCCTGACTCTAGGGGGCGGTGCTCATCTCCGTTTCCAAGCCAAAGAGCCAGCGCTGTCCGAAGACGTCTCCGTGGTCATGTGGCCGGCATGACTCAACGCCAAAGGCGCACGGAACGCTGTTCCCTTCCCATCAAAGGTGGTCCCTATTTTTCTACTTGCATTTTTTACCTGCTTTCGAACTGCTAGGTTGGCAGAAGCTGAGACAAGTCACGGGAGCTCACCCCGTTACGCGGCACCAGGGACTCGAACCGCATAACCGATCTTTCGATCGACAAGCTCAGCCTCTTAGCCAGCACGTCCCTCGCCCTCCACCGCTCGACCGTGCAACCAAGGTGCTAATGATTAGGAAGAAAGCAGGAAACACGGCCCGGGAGGCACCCAACCTACCATCTCCTGGGCTTCCACCTTCAGGGCCGCTGCCTGCTTCTGCGTAGCTTCCATCTGCTGGATGGCTTCTGCCTCTCGCTCCTGGGATGATGGAAAGGAGAGAAAAAAGACATAATAATACTATCTTGGCTGGATTCATACAACACGCTCAACCCAGGTTAAGAAAACCTAATCGCTGCCTTCACCTAACGTGCTTCGCTGAACTGGTTCAGGTTGACACGTTAAGATGCTAAGAGAAGGGCTGGGCTCCCACAATACTGATCGTCCTCAATTTACAACAGTTCGTTTAGTGACCGTTCAAAGTTACGACGGAAGTGACTTTATGACCGTTCTTTTCACACTTAACAACCGTTGCAGCCCTCCCCCTGGTCACGTGATCAAAATCCAGACGCTCGGCCACAGACTCATATTTATGACGGTGGCAGCCTCCTGGGATGATGTGATCCCCTTTGACAACCTTCTAGGGGGAAAGCCAGATTCACTTAACAACCGTGTTGCTAGTTGAACCACTGCAGGATTCGTTTTAACAACCGGGGCGAGGAAGGTTGTAAACCGGGGCGAGGAAGGTTGTAAATCGGGGCGAGGAAGGTTGTAAAAAAATGGGGCAAAACTTTCTCAACAGCTGTCTCGCTTATCAACGGAAATGCTGGGTGCCATTGTGGTCGTAAATCGAGGACTACCTGTGATTACCTTTAGGATCTTTTGTAGACCTTCAATTTCCTTCTGGAAGGTGACAGCTTGTTCCCGAAGAGCGCTGGCCTTCGCCACTTCTGAGCTCTCAGCACACTGAGAAAGAGGACCAGAAGCGATTAACGGATTAACAGAGTTGGAAGGGACCCTGTAGGTCATCTAGTCCAAGCCCCACACCCAAGCAGGAGACCCTACACCATCTCTGATAGATGGCAGTCCAGTCTCTTCTTGAAAGCCTCCAGTGATGAAGCTCCCACAACTTCTGAAGGTAACGTCTGTTCCATCAATTGATTGTTCTCACTGTCAGAAAATTTCTCCTTATTTCCAGGTTGAAGCTCTCCTTGGTCAGTTTCCATCCATTCTTCCTTGTCTGGCCTTCGGGTGCTTTGGGAAATAGCTTGACCCCCCTCCTCTCTGTGGCAGCCCCTCAAATATTGGAAGATGCTATCCTGTCTCCCCTGGTCCTTCTCTTCACTAGACCAGCCATGCCAAGTTCCTGCAACCGTTCATCCTATGTTTTAGCCTCCGGTCCCCTAATCATCCTGGTTGCTCTTCTCTGCACTCTTTCTAGAGTCTCCACATCTTTTTAATACGTAGTGTAGTGACCAACACTGGATGCAGGACTCTAGGTGTGGCCTTAAGGTAAAGGTAAAGATTCCCCTCGCACATCTGTGCTAGTCATTTCTGACTCTAGGGGGCGGTGCTCATCTCCGTTTCAAAGCCGAAGAGCCAGCGCTGTCCGAGGACGTCTCCGTGGTCATGTGGCCGGCATGACTCAATGCCAAAGGTGCACGGAACGCTGTTTCCTTCCCACCAAAGGTGGTCCCTATTTTTCTACTGGCATTTTTTACCTGCTTTCGAACTGCTAGGTTGGCAGAAGCTGGGACAAGTCACGGGAGCTCACCCCGTTACGCAGCACCAGGGATTCGAACCGCTGAACTGCTGACCTTTCGATCGACAAGCTCAGCGTCTTAGCCACTGAGCCACCGCATCCCCGTGTGGCCTTACTAAGGCTTTAATTAAAACAATGAAAACAGGCTCGGTCAATCTTTATGAAATAAGCCGCCAACAACTTCCCTGCTGTCTCTTGATGGCCGATCTCCTCTTGGCCTTCCATCCCTTTCCCAGCCTCTCCCACAATCTCTCACGTGATTCCCAGAGGATTCGAGACGCCACTCGGATTACCTCTTGTAAAGCTTGCTTCTCCTGCAGCGCCATCTCTTCTCTTAGTTTGCAGAGCTCTTTCTCCTTGCAAGAAGAGAGTGGGGTGGGGGGGGGGGAGAGATATTACTTAACCCATTCGTAGCTGAACATAGAACATAGAATAGCGGAGTTTGAAGGGACCCCGGAGGTCTTGTAGTCCAACCCCACTGCTTAAGAAAACCCAGCATTGCTAAGGAAGAATAAATATATATATTGCCAAGAGAAGGATAAATCTTCTCCCCTTTTAAATGTAAATTTTAATTTGTTTTAAATTATGGGGTATTTTAAATTCAGCCAAATTATTTAATTCGTTTGTAATCTATTTTATATTTTTGTATTTATGTGTTTTATCTTGTGGCTGTTCACCGCCCTGAGTCCTTCGGGAGAAGGGCGGTATAGAAATTTAATAAAATAAAATAATAAAATAAAATAAAATAAAATAAAATAAAATAAAATAAAATAAAATAAAATAAAATAAAATAAAATAAAATAATAAAATAAAATAAAATAAAATAAAGAGAACCTTTTCCCAGAATGCCTCCTGTTGAAGCTGCTTCAGCTGGTGCTGGTTTTCCTCTTTCAGGCTCCTGACGATGCCATCCAGGGCTTCCTTTTCCGCCGCCAAGCTTGAGAGGGTCTCGTGCATCCTGGCGATTTCCAGATCCTTTTTGGACAGCAGAGCCTGCAAACAGTGGTTGGGATTCGAAGAATTTAACAACCGGTTCTCTGCCCTAATGACCGGCTGGGTAGGCATGGCTGGGTGATCATAAAATTGGGTGGGCTTGGCCAACTCAAGGTCGCTCACATCGAGGAGCGCCCTGCCTTGCCTTGCCTGGCCTCCTCATCATACCCGCCCTCGCCCCTCCTCTCCCAGCCACTCCTTTTCATGCCCAGCCGCTCGCCTCGCCGCCCAGCTGGATGAACAGCCGGTTGGCGAGGCGAAGAGTGGCTGGGAGGAGAGGGGTGAGGCGGGGCTGGGCATGGCAAGACACGCTCCTTATTTCTAATTTTATTTATTTATTTATTTATTTATTTATTTATTTATTTATTTATTTATTTATTTATTTATTGAACTTCTATACCGCCCTTCTCCTTTCGGACTCAGGGCGGTGAACAGCCAAAATAAAAACATTTATACATAACCTTACAATTAAAAATAGATTTAAAATAATTACATAAAGTTGGCCCGTAATTTAAAAACTGTCAATATAAAATCCGTATTAAAATTTTAAAACCAACTATAAAATCAAGACAGACCGGCGAACTGAAACAAGTAAGTTTTTAGAGCCCGACGAAAAGTCCGGAGGTCGGAGATCACTCGTATCTCTGGGGGTAGATTGTAGATTGTAAATTTTCATATTTATCCTCTAGCCATAGATAAAACAACTCTCCTACTCCTTCGGGAGTAGGGCGGTATACAAATCAAATAAACTAAACTAAACTCATAGGCTATAATAGTCAGATTCTTCCTTTCCTTTAATTGCAAGCGTTAATCTATTCGTTTCTGCACATTCTAATATTTTCTTAATCACATTTTCATCCTTAGGGATCTCTTCACTTTTCCAGTTTTGTGCGAATACAATTCTCGCTGCCATTATTGCATGAATAATCAAATATACATTTTCTTGACTATAAGTTTCTGGTAAAATTCCCAACAAGAATAATTCAGGTTTGAGATCAATATGTCGTTGTGTCATAGTCTCTCATTTCTCAAAAAAGCAATCAATGTTCCCTCCCCGTGTCTGAAATTTATGTTTAGCATCTTGGATGGCTGTTGAGTTTCCAACTTCCAACCAGACACGGTATTTGAACTACGAGCATCTCCAGTGGAGGTCTCCTTACCTCCTGAAACAGCTTGGTCTTCTCACGGGCCATTTCCTCCACGGAGGACAACCTGGCTCTAGAACTCTTCAGCTGGAGCTTCAGAGAAGACAGCTGGTCTTCTAAGCAGCTCACTTGGTCCCTCAGCTCTTCTCGCTCCCTGATCAGACGGGACACCTGATGTGGACAGAAAGATCTGGCGATAGGAAAGCTTGAAAAAAATCATTGGAAATGCTGAGCCTGGAGAGGAGAGAATGTCCGTTCTCCTCCCCAAGTGTTCTGACCTAGGCGTTGACCCAAACCACGAAGCAGACTCCTCGTCCCGACAAAAAAAAAACCCTTTTTATTAAGTGACTGTGAATTCTTCTCATTCACATCCAGCAAAGTCTTTCCAGGGAGAATTTACAGTCGCAGACTTTATCTGGCTTGGAGAGCTGCCAAGCCGATATCTTCAAAACTTGGCAAGGAGTCTCGGAGAGTCACGAACCAATTAAGCGAACTAATTGTCTCCTGCAAACTGCATTCCCCTTTCGCTCCTCTTTTATTCCCTCTGGGAGGGGCCATTCATTGCCCGCGTGTGGCTTTACTCCTGAGTCGACCCTTGTTCTTTAGCTGTTCCCTTCTCCTGGCAGCTCTGTGCATGCACATACTGGGAACAGGCTCCAGCTGTTCTTCTCCCTCACTGATGTCCGACTCCGAAGGCAGCTGATAACTGCCAGACGGCCCTGGCCCCCTCTCTGCCTCTGACGCAGAGCCCTCATCAGAGCCTTCCCCAGACTCCAGGACTGGCCCATGTTCCTCCCCAACCTCCTCACTGTCCGAATCTGCTGCCAGCTCTGCTGGCCGCCGATGGGCCACAACACCAACCAACATTTTTGTTTACAGCAAAGTAGATGTCAAAATTGATCCTAAGTAAATCAAAACAGGGTGAACGACTGTGATTTGTTAGCTTCTGGCTTCAAGACATGGTGGGTTTTCCATCTCTGGAGGTTTCGTAAAACAGGACAGTCTCCTCTCCTGATTGATGTAATTGGCTTTCCAATTAAAACAATCCAGACTAGATTAACTCCTCTATTAAAGATAGCGGCCGGAGGAAGGGAAAACTGGCTGAAGGAAAGAGAGAAACCTCTCGCCCCCCCCCCCAGGTGTGCATCCTTCCTCACCTCCACCTGCAGGGCCCCGTACTGCCTGCCCTGCCGCCTGAGGACGCTGAGCTCTTGCTCCAGTTCCGCGACTTCCTTCAGGCAGATCTCCCGCTTATATTCCAGCAGTACCAGATCAGCCCTGTAGCAGGAAAGAAGGACGTAACAGAACAAGGGTTGGAAGGGACCTCGGAGGTCTTCTAGTCCAACCCCTGTTCAAGCAGGAGACTCTATATCATTTTGGACAAATCTGTTCTTAAAAGCCTTCAATGATGGAGCATTCACAACTTCTGGTGGCAAGGAGTTCCACTGATTAATTGTTCTAATTGTCAGGAAACTTCTCCTTAGTTCTAGGTTGCTTCTCCCATTGATTAGTTTCCACCCGTTGCTTCTTGTCCTGCCTTCAGGTGCTTTGGAGAATAGCTTGACTCCCTCTTCTTTGGGGCAGCCCCTGAGATACTGGAACACTGCTATCGTATCTCTCTTAATCCTTCTTTTCACTAGACTAGCCATACCCAATTCCTGCAACGGTTCTTTGTATCTTTTAGCCTCCTTATAGCAATAGCACTTAGACTTATACACTGCTTCACAGTGCTTTACAGCTCTCACTAAGCAGTTTACAGGATCAGCTTGTTGCTAGGTCCTCATTTACTGACCTCGGAAGGATAGAAGGCTTCGGAAGTACGCCAGGTTTACTACCTTGTCGTTTTAGCCATGGACCTCAAATATCGGCCTCAGGGTTGCCCTCTTCATTTTCCATACTTGCAATAAGGACCGACTGATTGATACCTGGCCTTCTCCACTTTATCCTGATGTTCTTCCATTTGCAACTCCAGTTTCCTTGCCAGCTCCTGGCGCTCCTTTAGGGCTACCTGAAAATTTTCCAGCTCCAGAGCCACATGCTGGGAGGAGAAAGAAGAGGAGGAGGAGGAGTTGGAGTAGGTTTTTGGAGCAGGAGCAGGAGGAGGAGGAGGAGGAGGAGGAGGAGGAGGAGAAGGAGGAGGAGAAGTGGGAGGAGGAGGAAGAAGAAGGAAAAGGAGAAGGAGGGGAGGAGGAAGAAGAAGCAGGAGGAGGAGGAGAAGGAAGAGGAGGACGAGGAGAAGGAGAAGGAGGAGAAGGAGGAGGAGGAGGAGATGGAGGAGGAGGAGAAGGAGGAAGAAGAAGCAGGAGGAGGAGGAGGAGAAGGAGAAGGAGAAGGAGAAGGAGGAGAGAAGGAGGAGGAGGAGAAGGAGGAGGAGGAAGAGGAAGAAGGAGAAGGAGAAGGAGGAGAAGAAGGAGAAGGAGGAGGAGGAGAAGGAGAAGGAGAAGGAGAAGACAACCAGTTAGCTCCACATTGAGTCTAACTCTGGGATTCTCGAAATACCCCTTCCTCCCACTGCCAGGGTGTCCTGAGTAGACCTGGTTTAGCTTGTAGTTTCCTGCCGTGGCTTCCTTCCAGTTGGGAGCCCACCTCCTGAAGTTGCCAGAAGTCCTCCTGCTTTGGCTGATCAGCTGTGCAAACCCCTCTCCATCTGCATCGGAGACGCTGGAACTCGAGGACCTTAAAAAAAAGCATCACACACTGGTACGGCATGATGACATTGTCTCAGTTAAGACAAACAAAGCTCTTCTCCAAAGCGCCTGAGGGCAGGACAAGAAGCAACGGATGGAAACTAATCGAGGAGAGAAGCAACCTAGAACTAAGGAGGAATCCAACTATGTCTGTTTTTTGGGCTGTTTTCCAGAGCTCCAGCACCTACAAAGACCAGCTGATGGTGCCATGGGCACACTGGAAACCAGAAAAGCAGCTGACGATGGTGCCCACAGAGAGGGCTTTGCATGCCATCACGGGGTTAGTGGGGTCTCCAGGTCTTTCTCTTAGGTCTCAGCTGCTTCCATGGTCTCTCCTTTTCCCTTTGCCCAGGGACACTCACCTCCATGGATCCCTTGGTGGCAGCCGGGATTTCTTCTTCACATTGTGGCCATCAGCTGTCGGGGAAAAGAGACCTGATTTAATCCAGATTTCCAGAGAGAGAGAAACGTTCCCACCAGTTCCCAACCCAAGAACCGCCCTTGAGAAAAAGAATGGAGGGAAGATCCTCCAAAGCAGAGAGAAAAATCCAAAATGATTTCAGAACACATCTTCTCCAGAAGAAAACACCCAGATAAGCAGGGATTAACACCAGACAAACGATCAAGCAGAAAGCAATCCGAATCAATGAACTAGCAAGGAGAAAACCCACACCAACACAAGGAAGGCAAGCTACCGTATATAAATAGAGGGCAAACCCCACATGGACTCACACTGATGACGTTAGCTGGCTGGGTAATGAAACGTCTGTAAACAAACCACTCAGCGAGCCCCAAGGAGTCCACCGTCCAACCCTCAGCTACAAAAATTATCTTCTATTCATATGATATCTTGACCAACTCACTTTCTCCCCTCTCTGGAACTTCACCATGGACTTCAGTGCTCAAAGCCACAGCCCAGGCCTCCCTGAGTCTTCTGGCCAACTCTGGAGTCTTCCGAGCTTCTCTTGGATCACAAATGATTCCAGGATCCGTTCCCAGTTCAGACGGAGACAGCCTGTCCTTTCCACCAAGGAATTTGGCTTTTGGAGGATAGAGAGAGCGAAGCAGGAGGATCCCTTGATCTTCTCCATCGAGAGGTAGCAAGTGATTTCTGCAGCATCCTCCAAGGGGCTCTCCTCCTCCTGGGTGGTCCGATGAGGTCTTCTCAGGGTGGCTGACCTCTGCTCTCCTCGGCGGGACTCTAATTTTTGATGTGGTTCTTCTGGTCCTTTGCCAGGACGATAGAGGATCTCCAACGACCAACTGGTGCTTTGAGCTTCTAGTGATGTTCTGTTTTGGTTCAGAAGATCGCTCTAGTCCTTTTCCTCCTAATTCCAGGAATCCACTTTTCCTGGAGAACTCCTCTTCTTCTCTTGAGCTCTGGAGCCTGGCGTGATGGTTCCTCTTCCACACCTGGTCTCCTCTTCCTATATCGGTTCCACTGGAGCTCTTGACAGACCTTTTTTCTCCTAGAGACACGATGTTCTTGACTCCATGTTGACTAAGACTCTGGAGTGGACCTTCTCTGGAATGAGGAGACAATTCTTGGCTCCGTTTCTCCTTGGACGCTTCTGCTGGCACCTGCTTGCTTGCCGAGTCCAATCTGTGAGGATCCAAAGCAGGGTGCAGAGATCTGAAAGTTGGACCAGGAACAGCCATCTCGGACAAGACGGTGACACTGGATGTGGTTGGCCTCACGTCTTTGGGACCTGACACGAGACCAGAAGGTGCCTCATCCTCATCGGAGCTCAGCAGCAAATCTACCAGACCTTTGTGGAACTCGGCGGCCAAGTCTTCGGTGCAAATGGACTCTGATCTGCTCGGGGCCTCCTTGGAGTCAGGGAGGTGCAGAAGTCCATCTCCTCTGCAGTCCATCTCCCGAGAGGACACGTCTCTGTCCCCACCTGCGTTTGTCCTGCCTGGATCTGCAAGGAGAAGGGAGCAAATTGAGAAACCTCTGTCTGTTGTCAGAATTCATTCCCGTGAAATAAAAATAAATAAAATAAATAAATAAAATTGCCCTTCAATTGCGGCTGGAGTATGGACCCAACTTCCTTCGTATCCCGGCCGATCTCTCCCCCCCCGCTCCTCCCCTTCCCCAGAACACTGCACACAGGTATTAGCAGCGCACGTGCGAATGGATCCCGATTCTCTTGAGCTGGGCAACTTTTTTTTTTTTTTTTTAATTTGATTTATATGCCGCCCTTCTCCGGAGACTCAGGGCGGCTTACAGTGCGTTAAGCAATAGCCTTCATACTTTTGTATATTTTATACAAAGTCAGCTTCTCTTTCTTTCTTTCTTTCTTCTTTCTTTCTTTCTTTCTTTCTTTCTTTCTTTCTTTCCTTCCTTCTTCTTTCTTTCTTTCTTTTCTTTTTTTTTTCAATTTGATTTATATGCTGCCCTTCTCCGGAGACTCAGGGCGGCTTACAGTGCGTTAAGCAATAGCCTTCATACTTTTGTATATTTTATACAAAGTCAGCTTCTCTTTCTTTCTTTCTTTCTTCTTTTCTTTCTTTCTTTCTTTCTTTCCTTTCTTCCTTCTTCTTTCTTTCTTTTTTTTTTTTCAATTTGATTTATATGCCGCCCTTCTCCGGAGACTCAGGGCGGCTTACAGTGCGTTAAGCAATAGCCTTCATACTTTTGTATATTTATACAAAGTCAGCTTCTCTTTCTTTCCTTTCTTTCTTTCTTTCTTTCTTTTCTTCTTTCTTTCTTTCTCCTTCCTTCTTCTTTCTTTCTTTCTTTTTTTTTCAATTTGATTTATATGCCGCCCTTCTCCGGAGACTCAGGGCGGCTTACAGTGCGTTAAGCAATAGCCTTCATCCTTTTGTATATTTATACAAAGTCAGCTTCTCTTTCTTTCTTTCTTTCTTTCTCTTTCTTTAATTTCTTTCCTTCCTTCCTTCTTTCTTCTCTTTTTTTTTTTCAATTTGATTTATATGCCACCCTTCTCCGGAGACTCAGGGCGGCTTACAGTGCGTTAAGCAATAGCCTTCATTCTTCTGTATATTTATACAAAGTCACCTTATTGCCCCCACAAATTGGGTCCTCATTTCACCTACCTTAGAAAGGATGGAAGGCTGAGTCAACCTTGAGCCTGGTGAGATTCGAACCTGCAGAAATTGCAGGCAGCTGGTCTTAATAACAGGGTGCTTTAGACCACTGTACTACCAAGGCTCTTTTTTAAGATGGAAGGGACAGAAACGCAAGTGGGGAAATGACTCGCAACAAGTATTTCCAAGAAATACCCAGCAAAGAATCGAGACGACTCACCTGCTTGCTTGCAAGACCAGCGCAGCGCATCGCTTTGCCCGGAAAAAAACAAAAAAACTTCGTTAACAACCGTGGAACGTCCCGGACCAGGGTTGCCTAGCTACCTTGGAATGCGGAGCAGCTCCGGCCTTCCCATTGGCGGAGAGGCTCATCCGTTGCCTAGGAACGCCACACGGCGGACTCTTGGAAGAAGAAGCGCGGGAAGCAACGTGGGACTGCTGGGGGGGGGAGTGGTCCTTGCAGCCCCCCAACCCCCTCCCCTCCCCAAGGCTGGACGCTCGAAGAAACAGCCCGAAAGTTGGAAGGATGAGAGAGCAAATATTCTCTTGGGGTATTCTTGAAGGAAGCAAAAATCGTGGAGCGAGGAATTTTGCATTCAGCAAACAGGAATTCATTATCTATCTATCTATCTATCTATCTATCTATCTATCTATCTATCTATCTATCTATCTATCATTTAGCTCTCTCTAGCTCTATCATTTATCATCTGTCTCTTTATTTCTATCTCTTCTTTATCATTTATTTCATCTATCATCTGTCTCTATCTATCATCTTTATCATCTATTGTATATCTAGCTACAACTATCATCTATCATCTGTCTCTTTACCTCTCTTTATCATTTCTCATCTATCATCTGTCTCTATCTATCTATCTATCTATCTATTTCTTTATTATCTATTGTATATCTAGCTACATCTATCATCATCTATCATCTGTCTCTTTACCTTTCTCTCTTTATCATTTATCATCTATCATCTCTTTATCTATCATTTATAATCTATCATGTCTCTTTATCTATCATCTGTCTCTATCTATCATCTATCTCTCTTTATCTCTATCATTTATTATCTATCATCTTTCTCATCTTTCTCATCTATCTGTCTGTCTCTCCATCATCTTTCTCATCTCTTTCTATCTCAATCATCTTTCTCTATCATCTATCCTATATCTTTCTTATCATGTCTTATCTATCTTATCTAATCTATCTATATATCATCTATCTATCTATCTATCTATCTATCTATCTATCTATCTATCTATCTTATATTTAGCTCTCTCTAGCTCTATCATTTATCATGTCTCTTTATTTCTATCTCTTCTTTATCTCTATCATTTATCATCTATCATCTGTCTCTATCTATCTATCTATCTATCTATCTATCTATTATCTTTATTATCTATTGTATATCTAGCTACATCTATCATTTCTATCATCTGTCTCTTTACCTTTTCTTTATCATTTATCATCTATCATCTCTTTATCTATCTATAATCTATCATCTGTCTCTTTATCTATCATCTGTCTCTATCTATCATCTCTCTCTTTATCTCTATCATTTATTATCTAATCTTTCTATCTTTCTCATCTATCCTGTCTGTCTCTCCATCCATCTTTCTCCATCTCTTATCTATCAATCATTTCTCTATCATCTATCCTATCATCTTTCTCTATCTTATCTATCTTATCTATCTATTTATATATCATCTATCATCTATCTATCTATCTATCTATCTATCTATCTTCTGTATCCATCCATCCATCTTTTCGCTGTTAAAAAACAACTTTTTTATGGTTCTGCCTGAGCTGAGCCCATTGTTCTGCCCCGAAATCTTAAGTCTCATCTTCTGGAGTGTTGGCTATTATATAGGAGTTTGGGTGCATCTCTCAAATGTGTCCTTAAACCTGGTTTTTGTGTATTGTGTGAGCCTGGAATGCTGATGGAGAATTGCAGGCCTTAAATTAGATTTTTTTTCTTACCTTACAACACTTGAGACTGGATGAGTAAAATTTCACCCATGACATTCCAGTGTTAAAGAAGGGAGTGGTGGGTTCCCCCGGTTCGCACCGGTTCTATAGAACTGGTAGTAAAACTGGAGGGAGGCTCCATCCGCTGACCCCGATGTCGTAAAAATGCTTCAGCGCATGCGGAGAAGAGAGCGTGCACGCACGAGTGAAGCAAGTACGCGTGCGCGGCCCCGTTGCAAACTGGTAGTAAAGTTAAGTAGAACCCACCCCTGGTGCAGTGGCCTAGAGGTGGAGCTCTCACCTCACAATCAGGAGGCTGTGAGTTCGATCCTAGGTAGAGGCAGATATTTCTCTCTCTGGGCACAATGAGAATATATCTGCCGAACAAAACTCAGTACTGGCGACAGGAAAGGCATCCGGCCATTCAAACACTCTGCTAACTCCATTCAGTTGCCCAGATTCCACCCCGCAAGGGATGGATTATGATTGCAGTGTTAAAAGAAGCTAAGAAGTGAGCGAGTAATACCTATCATCCAATAGGGCATTAAAGCTATTTCTTGCGCCCTTTCTCACGTACCCCACTTCCACGGAAACAGGCCTTGAAAAAGACAAGACAAGCAAGAGAGCCCTGTATCTTTTATTGTTAACACAATTAAAGCTGAACCGAGAGAAAAGAGACAGGAAAACATTACATCAGCTCAAGATTTTTACAATATAAAATCAGGAAGGAAAAAAAAAATATGCTACAGTTTGTGGCTCCGATTTTTGGAAGATTTGTGGAGGGGATGCTGGAGATACACAGGTGAACCCGCGGAAGAGTAGATCCTTGCAACGTGGCTTGAATTGCTTCGAAAGTCCAATGCATGTCCCTGCTCCTGGACATGCTGCATTGTCTATTGAGAGCCGTTGCAAAAAAAATTAAAATAAAAATAAAAATCCCTCGCTGGACACAGAACAGACACCTGAAGACAACAATGACCCAATCCATGTTTCTGCAATGTGTGCTTTCCTATCGCATAATAACCTCTGGACAAATTGGTTAACTCCGTAGTTTCTCAACTTCGACAACTTTATGATTAGGGGGGGCCCTTCAACTCCCAGAATTCCCTATCCAACGTCAGGCGCTGAAGTCCAAACGTCTTAAAAAGTTACCAAGGTTGAAAAAACATTACTGGGTTAACAAAAGGTTGAGTGTCGTCGTTTTTGAGGAATACAGAATAAAAACTGAGAGACGAGCAGAACAACAGAGTTAACAAAACAGCAGAGTTGGAAAAGGGACCTTCGAGGTCTTCTAGTCCAACCCCCTGCTCAGGCCTAGAGGACTAATCTGGACGAAAGGCTGTCCGACCTCTCCTTAAAAAAAAAAAAAAAACTCCAGTGATTTTAATTTATTTTCTTTGTAAATTTTCTAAACTGCCTTGAACTAAAAACTGTCCTTAGGCGGAATAACAATTGGAAGGGACCTTGGAGGTCTTCTAGTCCAACCCCCTGCCCAAGCAGGAAACCCTAGACCAGTGATGGCTAACCTTTTTGCCATCGCGTGCCAGGAGCGGGGAGAGCGCGGGAGGGTCGCGCACGTGTGTTCCCATACCCACAATCCCAACCCGCACATGGGCTCGTGACGCCCCCCCCATGCTCCCCACCCTCCTGGCATGCGATGGCCCAGTAGGCCCGTTTTTCTCTCTCCCCAGGCTCCAGAGCCTTTCTAGGCATCTGGGGAGGGCAAAAACAGCCTTCCCCACCACCCCGGAGGCCGGAAATGGCTCATTTGCCAACTTCCGGTGGGACCGGAAGGCCCGAAAATCAGTTGGCCGGTGCATGCATGCGGGCCGGAGCTGAGCTCGCGTGCCCACTGATATGGCTACGTGTGCCACCTGTGGCACGCGTGCTATAGGTTCGCCATCACAGCCTTAGACCGTTCCCGACAAATGACTGCCCAGAGTCTTTTTAAAAGGCTCCAGTGATGGAGCAGCTACCACAAGGCTGCATTTTAAAACCAGGAAACCTATCAGCTTTAAAGAAACTAAAGAAATTATTTCTTCCCGAAATTAAAACCCTGCCTGAGACATTTGGCGTGCCCAGCGTTCAAACGTATCAGGAAAATTCCTTTTGTGCCATCATTCTTCCTTTCCCCCCTTCCAGGAATTTATTTCCTTTCCTTCCTTTCCTCTTTTTTAAAGAGAAAAACTTCCCAGAACATCCTTGTCGACTCAATGATAAATTTATGCAAACTTTTACAATAATCTTCTTTTGTTTTATCAGTGTTTGCTGTTGCAGGTGGAACTACTTGGTAAAGCCATCCAGACAACTTCCTTTCCCCAAATAATTCCTTCATTTCCACTCATGCATGCCAATGCACAAAAGATTTTCAAGCAAACCCTGGCTTGGAAAAACTCCAGTCCTCAGCTCCATAAAGGTCTTCGGGAATCTGACACCATCCTCAAGATGATGTTTTCCAGATGTGTTGACCTACGAGCTTCCGGTTAATCCCAGCTGGAGTTCCCGTTCAGGACGGGGAAACCCCCCGAGAAACTCAACACATTCGGAGAACACCAAGTCAGGGAGCTTAGAATTGAAATTTTTCTCTACTACAGCATTTCTCAAGAGGAGGCGTGGACTTCCCCAGTTTGGAATTCTGGGAGTTGAAGTCCATACACGAGAACGGTTGCTGTAGAAAATTTGGCCTACCAAATCTGTTCTGTCTTTTTGATTCCGGGTCAAACGAGACCCAACAATTCTACAATCGGTCATCCTTTGGCCATAATCCATCATACATTTTTTGTGCGTGGATCCTGAATTCTATAGGAGGCAGCACAGTTTGTACTTCCGATCGGCTATTTAATTTTAGTTAAAAAAAAACAAAAACAAAAACAGGGGACGGGGTGGGGTAGACGGAGGCCGTTGTAGTACCCTGAAAAGATCGAAACGTGTCGAAACATATTTGTACTATAAAAAGATTCAGACGGACAGACTCCGTCTTCATTTCTCCGTTTCTTCTAGTTACACACCCATACAAATTTAAACAAAATAATTTTATATATATATATATATATATTTGTGTACATATATTATAGATATCATACATATAAATTAGAAACAAATAAATAAAGGTTAAAGGTACGCTGCCATCAGCGGCGAGAGGACGCCGATGTTCAGTCGCTATTGTTATTCCATATACAAGGGGTGTGTTTGTGTGTACAGGTCTACATTTGTATTGCTACCGGGTGTGTGAGCGTGTAATGGGTCTTCCGGGATAGGGAGGGGTGTGTGGGGACTCGGCCAGTGGATCCTGCCGTGCCTTTAGCACTCTGGAAGCCAGGTTTTTTTTAAGACCCCTTTTAAAAAATCCCCATTATTGCTTGTTTACTTCCCCCAGAAGATAAATGGACCAAGGGTGAAATTCAACCGGATCGGGCCGGATTGGGCGAACCGGTGGGGACGATTTGAATCAGTTCGCCAAACTGGTATAAAACACCCCTAGTTGGCCCTGTCCATGCCTGCGTGGTTGCCCGCTCAACGTTAAATGCTGCAGCAGAGAATCCGAACTTTTCTCCCTCCATTCACAGCGGAGCTGTCCCTTTTAAGGTAATTCGACCCCCAGGAGGGAGGGGGCTGCGAGGAGGACCATAAAGGGAGCAGCAGCTCCGCTGTGAATGGAGGGAGAAAAATTCGGATTCTCTCTGCCACAGCATTCACTATGAGCCCTTCTCGTGCTCATACAGACATTTTTTCCTACCTGCCGGGTGCTGTGGGCGTGGCTTGGTGTGGGGGGTATCATGTGACTGAGTGGGGGTGAGTGACATTGAGTTGGCCATGCCCACTAAGTCACAGGACACCACCACCAAGCCACGCCCATGGAACCGGTAGGGGGAAAAAAATTAAATGTCACCACTGAAATGGACCACTTCTCAGAGAGCGGTGATGGGATGCCACTTTCAGTGGGGAGGGGTCTGTTTCTGCACTCGGGGGCCCTTTAGTTGCCTGTCCTGTTGGGCTCAAAGGGAGGGGGCTTCTCCAAGCACCAGATGTTTCAGGGAGCCCCTAAGCAGGCCGGACCTGGGGAAGGATCAGCTAGGAAAAAAACGGGAAATAAGATCCCGTACAGCAGGAATCCACAACGTTAAGACGGGAAGACTTCAACTCCCAGAATTCCCTGGCTAGCCACGCTGAGGTTGAGAAACAGTGGATTTGGTGCCAAGAATCCCAATGCAAGCAGCCAATGCCCCCCCAGATTAACTGGGGCTGCAGCCCCCAGAATCCCCCTGCCAGCAGGGATTCCGGCAAGGCTTCTCCCCGGGGCCAACTCTGAGCAAGCAGAGGATGGAGCAAAAGTCTGCAGCGGAGAAAGACAAGAGGAAACGTATCTCAATTCATCCGGCTGCAAATGGGATGTTTGCTACGGGAGGTAGCTAGGCTGGTGACCCCAGGATGCCCTGAGCTGATCGGACCCAGGAGGGCATTTGGCTGGATCTTTTGCCCTTGCCAGTTTTCTCTTCTTCACCCGAGGAAGAAGATCTTAAAACGGCAAGAGGGTTCTTGGTGCGCGCGCACGAGAGAGAGAGTGCGTGCACCAATGTGCTTTCTACATACAGGGTGGCCGAGTTTGCAAAGGCAACTTATGCCCAAGACTATCCCAGAGCTGGCTGGGCATTAACCCAGGCTGCAACTCTCCAGGGTGCCCGCTCTAAATCCAAATATTCCATGCGAATGATGGGACTTGGCCAGCGCACGTGTGTGCACCAATGTGCTTTCAAACAAACACGGTGTTTGCGCTTGCAAATTGCCCAGAGCTTCCCAAAGCTTGCTGGGGCATTAATCTCTAGGTGCCAGCTCTAAATCCATATATTCCATGTTAGTGATGGAAACTTGGCTCCACAAGACAGGGCAAACCAACCAGCAGAGTTTTACAAAGTGCCGGAAAGGCGAAAACGGGCCCCCAATTCAACCGATTGGGGAATCCTAAGCGATTGGATCCTTGCCTGCGCTCCCTGGGCTGAGATCTCTGAAGCAAATAAGAGGAAAATGCCGTCGGAAGGAAGGCTTGAGGGAAGCCAGGTTCTGCTATGGCTGCCTTCCCTGTTTTCTCCAAATGTTGAAAAACAAGAGGAAAAATAAAACCTTTCAAATCCTTCCTTGAAACACAGCCAGCCTGGGAACGTAAACAATATTTCTCCACCGTGGGTTTAATACGTCTCCTTCCGAGTCTGCAAAGGTAAGTAAAACAGTGAGAGAAAGGGGAATCCGCTGTGCCACATGATTTAGATTAGCTAGAAAGCAGAAAATCCGACGATTCTAGCTAATATCAATCGCGCGTCACAGCTGATCGTCGTCCACCTGATCATCGGAAATACCGGTTTGCCCGAACCGGTAGCATTTTTTTTTACTACCGGTTTGCTTGAACCGGTCCGAACCGGTAGCATTTTACCCCTGATACATTTCCAGGGTGGTGGCTTCAAAGGAAGCTCAACTGTGGATAAAGCCAGGGTTTGAATCCCTCCCTACCTGGAGAAGGACAGACTTCAAAAGGGATAAGCTGTTTCCAAAGACCCAGAGAAATACAACTGGTTCCCTCCCCTCCCCACCCCACGGCTTCCCGCATTTCATTGCCCCCAGAGAATTTTGAGGGTCCCTCCCTCCCCCAAGACGGTATATGGAGCTGCCTGCAACTTGGGGGAGGATGGGGATTATCTGCAGGTTAAAAGTAGGGTTAATTCCCATGTGGAAATGAGAAATCAGAGGGGAGGGGGGGGAGAGAAATAAGTCCTGAAACGCTCACCGTTTCCAATACAAGAGGCGCATCTTTGGAACTTAGCGAAACCAAGGCCTCAAAAGAGAAGCTGGCTGGCCACCCCAGAGACAGCATTTATTTTTTAATTTTTTTTTTAAAGGAGAAAAAAACAACAACCCTGGCTAACGAGAAAAAAAAAACCCCTCAATCCTAATTGGTAAGCTTAAAAAAGTCACTTAAAAAAATCATACGCCATTTTATTAGTGCATAAAAATAGCTTTTTTTCTTTCTTTCTTTCTTTTTTTTTTGGAATCCCTGTTTGGTTTTGCCTCGTCTTACTCTTTTTTTTTGTTTTGTTTTTGTTTGTGTTTTTCTTTGCTTTTGTGTGTTTGTTTTTTTCAATTCGGGATTTATTTGAATCTCTGCGCGATTCTCCGACAGGTGGCTGGGGAGGGGGACGCAGGGGGGGAGTTACCCCAAGGGGCGCTTCGTCCCGCGGCTGACTGCGGAGGCTTCGCCCGGCACCCAACGAGCCCAGCTCAGAAGATGCTGGGACACTGGCTCCAGTCCTGCTTCTCCTTGCTCTCCCAGTAGCCGCCCTTGTACACGCACATCAGCTCCCCCGTCACCGGGTCGACCTTCCTCTCAAACCACAGCGGGATGTAGCCTCTGTAGTCCTTGCCTGCAAAGGAAGCAGGGGGGCATAGCCCCACAGGTTTCGGTCAGGGGTGGGCTTCAAAACTTCTAGCAAGGGGTTCTCTGCCCGGTTGTGGGGTGGGCGTGGCCATGGTGGGCGTGGCCTAGTCAGCCTCCTGCACAAAGGCCCTCTCCGGGCTCCGGAGCCTTTCCTTGAGCCTCCGGGAGGGCCAAAATGACCTCTACAGGCTCCGGAAGCTGAAAATGGGCCCGTTTCCGGCCTTCCTGAACTTCCGGTAGGCCTGTTTTTCACCCTCCCCGAGCCTCTGTGCGTGCCCTGCACTTAACTGCATCCAAAACGGGCCGCGTGGGGACTCTTGGGAGGGGAGGGGTGGGCGGGGCCAGCCAGGAGTGGGATTTGGAGGTTTTCCGAACTGCACAGAATCTTAGAATTTTACCCGAACCCCCAGCAGACATGCACCCACACGTGTGCGCGCTGCTCGCACAGAACCGTCTCCTCTCCCACCAGCCCGCAGAGCCCAAAAGCTTGAGGAACGCGGCTCTGTTTTTCAATACGATGCCACAACAGTCGTAAAGGGTGAAAAACGGTCCTAACTAAGCCACATTTCTCAGTGCCGTTGCAACTTTGAACAGTCACTGAATGGACTGTGGTTAAGTCGAGGACTACCTGGGTAAAGCGATACCCTGAGCCTGCAACCCCCTCCTCCCCAGCCTCGTATTCCCTCGTGCGAAGACATTCCCCCTGTAGATCTTGGAATTCAACTCCCACCTGCCCCAGCCAGCGTGGCTCTAACGAGGGACGGATGGGATATGTCATCCGCAAACATCCCAGGGGTGCCTCCTTGTAACCTGCTGATCTCAAGGGCGGCTTTCCGGTACCTTCTGCCAGCGCTCCAGCTGCTTCGACTTCCCGGTGCCGGCGTACGGCCCGTTGTTTTTCTTCCAGCCGCTGTTTCTCCATGTTGGCTTCGTCCCATTTGCCGTTCTCCATTAGCCTCTGGTCGGGCCTCAGGCGGCTGTCCGTGGGAGCGACACCGTCTTCCGGCTCGTTGAGGGTCAGCGCCAGTTTGGAGAAGAAGTACATGTTTTCGGCGTTCTCTCTGGAGAAGGAAGAGCCAGGAGAGGCCTTAGCGAGAGGGGTGGGTGGCACCAGCAGGCGCTCCCCTGCGTTGCGGTTTAAGCGGCGGATGAAAAAGCCCCTTTGGGACACCTTAACAATCCGAGCCTTTTCTGCAGCCCCACAAAGCCCGACCCCACAACTGGTCAACCCTTAAGCCCCAAGCCTGTTGGGAGGACTCACGGGAGGGGGTATTTCTTCCACAGGACCTTGGGGGACAAGGTCTGGTAGACCGTTTTCGGAAGCTTGCCTTCCGAAATGGAGTTTCCCTGGCTGGCTTCTATGATCTTGGAACACTCCATCTTCTCGTCCCATGTGCCGGACATGACGTATCGCTCGTTGCCATCGGCGTCCATCACCACTCCCGTCACCTGGGAAAGAAGACCAGAAAAAGGAGGATTTGTGGGCGGGGGCCTGTCAGAGTGCGGAGGGAATGGGGATTTTGCAGTATCCTTCCCCTCGAGTGGGGATGGAATGGAGATTTTACAGTATCCTTCCCCAGGAGTGGGGTAGGAATGGGGATTTTGCAGTATCCTTCCCCAGGAGTGCGGAGGGAATGGGGATTTTGCAGTATCCTTCCCCAGGAGTGCAGAGGGAATGGGGATTTTGCAGTATCCTTCCCCTGGAGTGAGGAGGGAATGGGGATTTTGCAGTATCCTTCCCCTGGAGTGCGGAGGGAATGGGGATTTTGCAGTATCCTTCCCCAGGAGTGCGGAGGGAATGGGGATTTTGCAGTATCCTTCCCCTGGAGTGCGGAGGGAACGGAGATTTTATAGTTTTCTTCCCCCGCCATGCCCACCAAGTCACACCCACCAAGCCACGCCCAAAGAACCAGTAGTAAAAAAAATTTGGATTTCACCACTGGGCTTCGCTTGTTTGCACAGCCCGGTTTCTGACATGCCATGGGCCAGTGCCAGTCCATGGACCAGGAATTGGTGACCCCTGGCTTAACCGACCCATAGAAAGGCCAATCCAAGAGAAACGTTACAAGGCGTTTCGTTCTAGGTGCATTTTCAAGCAAACTTGACTTTGTGCATCTGAAGGTTACCTTCCGGGGAATGTCTCTGGAGAAGTAACTGTAGGGGGTGAATTTCAGCTGGCATTTGTCTTTTGATTTGTGGTTGAGGATTTCTATGTCACCGGACTGGACAAAAAAAAAAGAGAAAAAAAAAGAAGAGAGAGAATTTGCTCAAAGGGTTAATTATCCATATTGACAGAAAACAGAATCAAGAAAAACGGTTTTCTTTCTTTCTTTCTTTCTTTCTTTCTTTCTTTCTTTCTTTCTTTCTTTCTTTCTTTCTTTTTTTTAATTCAAATTATTTTTTTTAAAAAAAGATTAAAATACAACACAACACGATCTGGAACAAGCTCCCCCCGGAGATACGGAGGATCCCGGATCTTCGCACCTTCTGTCGCGCGCTTAAAACATTTTTATTTCATCAAGCTGGCCTGGCCTAAATCTTCTCCTCTTTTAAATTTAAATTTTAAACATAAATTTTAATCAGTTTAATTATGGGGTATTTTAAAATTTAGCCTAAATTATCTAATTCGTTTTAATTTATTTTAAATTTTGTATTTCTGTGTTTTATCTTCTGGCTGTTCACCGCCCTGAGTCCTTCGGGAGAAGGGCGGTATAGAAATTTAATAAAATAAATAAATAAACACTTCCAAAAATTTTTAAAAAGCAAATGAACCCACATTTGTGTCTCTATTCGGCGAGTGATTGGAGCAACCCTGCAGGATGTGGCCCATCAGAAGTGGGTTTCACTTATTTTTACCACTGGTTCGCTACACGCGTGCTCGCTTCACGCACCGTCCGCACATGCGCCGGGCCTTCCACGCACGCGGCCTGGCCTCGAAAACGTGCTTAAATACAACGGCACGGAGCCTGGGGTAGTGCGATATGGTAGGGCCGATTGCGCGAAGCCCTACCCACCCGCGCGGACGTCACGACGTCCCATTTTTGCGATGATTTTCAGCCTCTGCCCATGTGCAGAAGGCTTTGTGTATGTGTGGATGACGGCGTGCGCGGGCAAAGCAAGCGCACATTTGCGAACCGGTAGGGAAGATAAGTGAATTTCACCCCTGGTCGCTACAGATTTGCCCGAACCGGTCTAACCCAGCTGAATACCACCAATGTGGCTCATCCTCCTTACCTGGTCAATCCAGAGTTTCCCCACAATAATATTGTGAACCGTGGATGTGACTTTTTGCCAGATGTAGTGATTGCCGCTGGAGTGGAATTCGAGATGGATGGTGCCTGCACAGAAAGGGGAGAAAAATTTTAATTTTACGGTTAAAATATAAATTTTTATACAGAAAGAAAGGAGTTATCTCTGGTAAATCTTAACGGACTTTTGCGGATTCGGATTGCACGATGAACCTTCATGATTAGCTAACGGATAAAAGATGTGATATGGGCTGAAGCATTTTTATTTTTTTCTGTTTTTCTTAGTTTTTTTATCAGTGTGAAAAACGATCGTAAATCCAATTTTTCAGGAGACCGTTTACTCACGATCATCTTCTTTTAACGACCCCATAATCCCTTGCGGGGTGGAGTCTTGGGCAACTGAATGGAGCTGAGTGTTTTACTGGCCGGATGCCCTTCTTGTTGCCAGTACGGAGTTTTGTTCAGCAGAGATATTCTCATTGTGCCCAGAGAGAGAGAAATAATTGCCTCTACCTAGGATCGAACTCACAGCCTCCTGATTGTGAGGCGAGAGCGCTGCCTCTAGGCCATCACCGCACCACTCCGTTTACTCACCCAGTGGCATGATGGAAAGGTATTTGCCACGGAACTTGCTGGCAATGGTGATCTCCTGCCACAGCGTCCAGCCTCGCCGGGAGTAGACGTGATGAGCAGCTGCTGGGGGGTGATGGCTCACCTGGAGGAGAAGGAACACACCTTGACGGCATCCGCTGCCTAAAACTGCAGGTTTTTCTTGAAGCAAGATTCTCGAAGTTCTCTTTAGCAAGATTTATTGAGATGACTGGGAGGGGAAGATTAACAAGAATCCCAGTACGGGTAGTCCTCGGTTTACGACTCTAATGGAGCCCCAAATTTCTGTTGTTAAGTGAGAGAAGGTCGCAAAAGGGGATCAAATGGGGGTGAACATACCCCTATTCCTCCTGCTATTTTCTCCAAAAAAATAACCCTGTGAGGTTGGTTTGGGCCAAAGTCACCCAGCTGGCTTTCATAGCTAAGGTGGGACTAGAACTCACCGTCTCCTGGTGATTGGCCCAAAGTCACCCAGTTAACTTTCATGCCTAAGGCGGGACTAGAACTCACCGTCTCCTGGTGATTGGCCCAAAGTCACCCAGTTAGCTTTCATGGCTTAGACAAGACTAGAACTCACGTCTCCTGATGATTGGCCCAAAGTCACCCAGTTAGCTTTCATGCCTAAGGCGGGACTAGAAGTCACCGTCTCCTGGTAATTGGCCCAAACTCACCCAAGTATTTTTTCATGCCTCGGGTGGGACTAGAACTCACTGTCTCCTGGGGATTGGCCTAAAAATTACCTAGCCTCTGCCTCCCCTTCCCCACCTTTTCCGTTTCATGCGGACTCCCTCTTCCTCCCCTTCTCTCCTCCAGAGAGCTGCTCTACCATGCTGGTGGATTTAACATCCTTGGATTAACCCCCTTTCCCGCCTCCCCAGCATCTTCTGGGGGGGGGCATGAACAGATGGGTGCTGAAGAATGCAAGAGTCCACCCCACCTGAGCCAAGGAGCCTGAACCCCAAACCCTACACACCTGGCCTTCTTTCCCCCACCCCACCCCCACGCCGGTCCTTGGGCTCACCTGCTCGCAGAGCGAGCGGAAGCCGAGCTCTTCCAGGCGGTCCAGTTCGAAGGTCTCGCCCAGGAGTGGGTTGAAGGGCTTGGCGGTCCGTTGGACTGTGGTCGAGTAGGAAGACACCGAAAAGGCGGCCACGAAGCACATCTGCTCGATGGCGTTCTCGCACTTGACCGCTCTGTCCAGCAACTCGTGATACTCCATGTCCTCCGTCAGCCTCTGCAGCATCGAGAGGGGTTCGTTGAAATTGATCTGCAGGGAAGAGGGGAGCAGGGAAGGAGGGTTAGAGGGGGGGGGTTGGTCCAGCCCTGGGAAGGAAGAGCGGGGGGCTTCACAGGCCCTTCTTCCCCCCACCCCACCCCACAACACACACACCCTCCCAGTTCCTATTCCAAAATGACCCTTGGGAGCACCGAGAGGAATCCCAATGCCCAGAGTGGCCATTGCTTTTATCCTGCACCAGGCCACGCCTGCACCATTGGTGGCGCAGTGGTCAGAGTGCAGTACTGCAGGCTGCCTGCAATTTTGCAGTTCGATTCTCGCCAGCCTCAAGGTTGACTCAGCCTTCCATCCTTCCAAAGTGAGTAAAATGAGGACCCAGATGGTTGGGGGCAATGTGCTGACTTTGTAAACCGCTTAGAGAGGGCTGTAAAGCCACTGTGAAGCGGTATATAAGTCTAAGCGCTATTGCTGTTGCTATCCGAGCTCCCCCATCTGATGGTTGCCCAGTCGGTCCTTATGTGGAAGCAGCAGAGGAGAGCCCTCTACCTCTGGGAGTGGGGTGGGCGTCTCCCCTTCAAATGGCTGATACAGGTAGCCCTCGGCTTACGACAGTTTCACTTAGCGACTTCACTTCGCTTTACAACGGCACTGGAAAAAAACGTGGACTCAGGACCGTTTTCCACCCTTGGGAAAGTTGCAGCACCACGTGATATAGAATGGAATGGAATGGAATGGAATGGAGTAGAATAGAGTAGAGTAGAGTAGAATAGAATAGAATAGAATTCAGAATGGAATGGAATGGAATGGAATGGAATTGGAATTGGAATTGGAATTGGAATAGAATAGAATGGAATGGAATGGAATGGAATGGAATGGAATAGAATAGAATAGAATAGAATAGAATAGAATAGAATAGAATAACAGAATTGGAAGGGACCTTAGAGGTCTTCTAGTCCACCCCCTGCTTAGGCAGGAAACCCTACACCACTTCAGACAAATGGTGATCCAAACTCTTCTTAAAAACTTCCAGTGATGGAGCATTCACAACTTCTGGAGGCAAGGAGTTCCACTGATCCATTGTTCTCTCTGTCAGGAAATTCCTCCTTGGTTCTAGGTTGCTTCTCTCCTTGATTAGTTTCCACCCATTGCTTCTTGTCCTGCCTTCAGGGACTTTGGGGAATAGCTTGACTCCCTCTTCTTTGGCGCAGCCCCTGAGCTATTGGAAGACTGCTATCATGTCACTCCTAATCCTTCTCTTCATCAAACTAGACATATCCAGTTCCTGCAACCATTCTTCATATGTTTTAGCCTCCAGTCCCCTAATCCTCTTCGTTGCTCTTTGCTGCACTCTTTCTAAGATTTGGAAGTTTGACAACTGACTAGCATTTACAACCGTTGCAGTATCCCCGGGAATGGGTGGGTGGGAGGTGTCACATGATCCCCTTTTGCGACCCTTCTGATGAGACAAGTCAAGGGGGTGGGGTGGGGGGTGGGGGCGAAAGCCAGATTCACTTAACAACCGTCGTGGCTCATTGAACAATGGCAGTGACCCATTTAACAAACGCACCAAGGAAGGTCGTAAAATCGGAGGAGGCTCGCTTAACCCATTTCTCATCAATTTTGTGAGCTTGCTTTGTTGTCGTACGTGGAGCGCTGTCCCGTACTGCACAGGATCAAAGAGCCACAGGCGGCGGATGAAAAAAAACGAGCCACTGGTCACAGCTGGATTATTCTGACCCGCAAGGTCATCGAGGGACAGAGGAAGCGCAAGCTCTGGAAATAAATACACTTGCACAAAAGGGACGTGCTCATGTGTGTGTGTGCCGACCGCTGACGCTTTGTCGTCTGCACAAAAAGTCCCCGGCGCAGCAGAAAGATTTAATGTCCCGTCAAAGGGCTATTACAGTTTCCAATACTTCCCAACGTGGCTCCCTTAATTGGGAGGCTTCCACGAGCGTTAACGTTGGCAGATTTAAAACGTTTTGCTTTGGCAGCTGCCCTGCTGATGTTTTTTTACTGGGCTGCCAAGCAGCGATATTGGATAGGGGGGATTATTTATGGAACGCAATATCGAAACGCTTGAAAAAAAAAACCCAACAACTCTGTACGAGTCCTTTTTTTAGAGAGTCGTTTTGCTGGGGAATTGAACGGAAATGACTTTTTGTTGTTTTGAAAGGAAAGTGCCTGCGTTTCTGTTACGCAATTGGTGAGTTTCACCCATCCTAAACCTCATTGAAGGGACGTGGTGGCTCAGCGGCTAAGACGCTGAGCTTGTCGATCGAAAGGTCGGCAGTTCAGCGGTTCGAATCCCCTATGTCGCGTTCATGGGGTGAGCTCCCGTGACTTGTCCCAGCTTCTGCCAACCTAGCCGTTTGAAAGCCCGTAAAAAAAATGCAAGTAGAAAAAATAGGGATCCCCTTTGGTGGGAAGGGAACAGCGTTCCGTGTGCCTTTGGCGTTGAGTCATGCCGGCCACATGACCACAGAGACGTCTTCGGACAGCGCTGGCTCTTCGGCTTTGAAACGGTGATGAGCACCGCCCCCTAGAGTCGGGAACGACTAGCACATATGTGCGAGGGGACCTTTTACCTTTAAACCTCATTGAAAGGGAAAATCGAAAGTAATTTTGCAATTTCGTTCCATCCTCCTTGAAATCAAAACTGACTTTTGAGGCGTCCGTGAAATTCTCTTAGGAACGGTACAGATGTTGTCTCTGCCTTCTTCCCAACTATTCCACCCGCCCCTCCACTATTGTTTGAAGGCGGTGCTGACATTTCTGGGCCAAGCCGTTTTTTGTGAAAGCTCCTCCTCCCCTCTATAGTTCCAGCTAGTCTCCAACCCTCAACCGTTACGCTGGCTGAGGAATTCTGGGGATTGAAGTCCGCAACTTTTCAGACTTGTGGACCTCAACTTCCAGAATTCCTCATCCAGTATAGATTGTTGAAGACAAGCTGGAACAAGGAGGAGACGGGAAGCTCTCACGAAACAGCTTGGCCCAGAAATGTCGGCCTTCAAACGAGCATCCAAGCTTCTGAACACGCGACCTTCGAAGGCAAAATCAGAACCTCTTTAAAATTTCTGGGCATTGAAGTCTTAAAACTGAAGTCTTAAAGCAGGATCGGTGACCCCTGCTTTAACTCGACGAATCTCTCACGAACCCTCAATTTCTACTTCTTTTGGCCTGTTGCCCTTTGGCTCAACGGCTGAGTGGGCTTTGCTCCACCCGTGTTTAGGGGTGGGATTTGACCGGTTCGGACCGGTTCGAAGCTAAATCACGCGGCACAGCTGATTTCTCCCCCCCCTCGCTGTTCTACTTACCTTTCCAAGCCTCCTTTTGGCGTGTACTGTGCATGTGTGCTCAGCACGCATTTGATGCGTGCATGCGTGGCCAGCGAACCAGTAGCAAACTGGTTCAGATTTCACCACTGCTTCTCAGCCAATTCTGCCGTGCCTCAGCTGTGTTACTCCCCAGCAGTAACACGGAAGGTAAGTTTTCGTAACACTGGGCATGTGCATGCAGCGTGCGATCACCGAACCGGTTGTTAAACTGGCAGGATCCCACCACTTCCCGTGTTGCCTCTCTTGTACATTCACCACCTCACCAGGGCTGTGCTTCAGGTGGAGACCGGCCAGATGTGTTGTGGCCCGTACGCAGCTTGTGCAGCTAGTAGCTGATTCCAACAGTGAAGAGGCTGGTGTGGTGCTGCGCCAGCAGCCTGTGCAGCTGGCACTCGAGTCGGACAGTGAGGAGGCTGGAGAAGATGTGGTGCCAGAGACGGGAATTCAGCCAGGGCCTTCAGAACCTCCAGAAGCTCCCATAAGTGAAGAGGATGAAGAGGAGGAGCCTCTTCTCGATGCACGGGCGTGCAGAGCTGCTAAAAGGCAGGAGTGGTTCCTCAGGAGGAGGTCTCCTCGAGAGTAAGGCTTGGGGCTAATTGGCCACTCCCTTAGCCTATTTAAGGAGGAACGCCGACTGAAGCAATTTGCAGGGAACAACTTCGTTCACATACCTTCGTGTCTTGTCTTGCTTATCTTATCAGCTTCCTGCAAATTGCTTCTGGGCATTCTGCCAACCATAGTAAGCTTTCAGTTATTATTCTTTGAATTCTTGGCTGTTAATGCAATTAATTAACAGCCGTTGTTGTAAAAGACTGGTTTATTTAGTAAACTAAGGTTTGAACGGACTTTGTGCGTGCTGCATTCTTTGGGGTCCGTAGCTGGGGCAGAACAAGATGCTGAAGCTTAAAGCCCACAGAAGAAGCTCCCCACATACACGAAAGCGGGTGGAAGGAAGCACTTACCGGCATGGGGATCTTGGAGAGTTCTTTACCGATGCAATTTTTCATGATGCTCCAGAGATTAAGGCTGTAGTTGGGCTTGTCTGGGATCTGAGTACGCCTCTCCTTGTGGGTGACTCCATACTTGCTTGAAGAACCAAGGCCAGAGTGAGTGGAGGCCTCGAACGCCTGAAAGGGATCGAACCCAAGGTCACGGACAATTCAGAGTGGGATTTCCAACTCTCCCAACCCACCCTCGCCTGCTTGTAAGCATAGCCCTGGCACAGGCTCATCAGAACAGAGGAAGTGTAGGGATTCGAACCGTTGAACTGCCGACCTTTCGATCGACAAGCTCAGAGTCTTGGCCCCTGAGCCAGCCAAGCCCAAATCCTGCAGCCGTTCTTCGTATGTTTTAATCTCCAGGCCTTGGGTTCTCTTAGTTGCTCTTCTCTGAACTTTTTCCAAAGTCTTAACCTCTTTTTTTGTAGTACGGTAACCAAACTAAAATCGATTGCGGGTATTCTGGTCTTACTAGGGTTTTATACAGCGACACGAATACGTCACGTAGATCTTGATTCCAAGCCTCTGTTTATAACAACCCGGGATTGTGTTAGCTATTTTGGCTGCCGGTCGGTGATACTCACGCTATCGCCCAAGTTCCAATCCTCCGAACAGCCCTCGTTGGCCACGCTAATTTTGCTGCTGGTGTGCCTGTGGGGAACGCAAAAATGACAGTGGCAATGCCAAAAGCTATGGGGCATGGTCTCCTAATGCGCTGGCCACCATGGCCAGGCTGCCCCAGCAGGGCCCGTCAAGCGGGGGCCCACTGAGAAGATCACAAACAGAGGTGGGATTCCGATATGCAAATGCGCCACCTGACATTCTGACCCGGTCAGTTTCTCCAAGCTCTGGATCTAGGCAACCAAAGGGCACGTGGGCAACTTTCCCTGCAGTGCAGGAGGATTGAGAACCAGGTGGGATCGGGGAAAGGGGGAGAACCAGGGGGCTGTAAGAAGGAAGAGTTAGAAAGAATAGGACTTTGGAAGAATCAGAGGTTCCGGAAGTGGGTAGTGATTCCTTTTTTTAAAAAAAATGCTAGCTGGGGAATTCTGGGAGTTGAAGTCCTCCCATCTCAAACCTGCCAAGGGTAAGAAACCCTGGGTCAGCCCATAGACTAGGGGTATCAAACTCAAGGCCCATGTACCGCATCCAGCCCAGGGGTGAAATTCAGCAGGTTCTGACAGGTTCTGTAGAACCGGTAGCGGAAATTTTGATTAGTTCGGAGAACCGGTAAATACCATCTCTGGCTGGCCCCAGAGTGGGGAGGGAATGGGGATTTTACAGTATCCTTCCCCCAGGAGTGGGGAGGGAATGGGGATTTTGCAGTATCTTTCCCCCCAGGAGTGGGGAGGGAATTTATTATTATTAATTTTATTTCTATACCGCCCTTCTCCCGAAGGACTCAGGGCGGTGTACAGCCTGATTAAAAGCGCAAAGACAAACAAAATTTAAAAATTATTAAAAATTATTAAATAATTGGCTCAATTATAAAACCCCCAAATTTAAAATCCCATATTTAAAACCAATTACAATCTTTACATTGATAGCCCGGCCTGGCGGAACAACAAGGTTTTGAGGGCACAGCGAAATACACGGAGATCTGAAATGGGAGTTTTGCAGTATCTTTTGCAGTATTGGGAATGGGGATTTTGCATTATCTTTCCCCCATTTGAACATGCAAGAAGGGACAGGAAAGGAGAAAGAGGAAGAGGAAAGGCAAAAGAAAAAGAAAGGAAGATGGGAAAGATGGGAAGGAAGGAAGGGATTTACAATATCAGCATCTTGCCCCCAACAATCCTCATTTTTATCAACCTCAGAAGGATGGAAGTCAACCTTGAGCTGGTCAGGACTGATCTCCTGACAGTGAGCAGAGTCAGCCTGCAGTACTGCATTCTAACCATTGGGCCACCATGACAGGAAGGAAGAGAAGGGAAGGGAAGGAAGGAAGGGATTATGATGACAGTGAGGGAGGGTCTCAGGGAAGTCGTGTGGTAGCATTTGGTCACCATAGGTGCCCCCAACACGAGTGATGTCAAGCTGGCATCATGGCCACGCCAACCCTCGGCCCTCCGAGGTCAAACACAACCCGGATGCAGCCCTCAATGAAATCGAGTTTGACACCACTGCCCTAGACAATGGCTCCAACCTACCGGTGATGTTTTGAAGGCTCTGCAGCTACTGTGATGACAGCGTGAGCGTCTTCCATAGCATCAAAGTATTCCGTCTCCTCATCTTCATCACTCGGTTCTCCTTTTCCACTCTGCACGCTTCCTCCTGCATGAGACGGATAACCCGGATCAGATCTTGGCGCATTTGTGCGCTCGAGACACCCGACAGAAGGAGGGAGGAAGGTTGGGTGGCTGTCCATGGGGAAGTCAATTTCACTGAATGACCCTGTGACTACCTTAACAACGGCCGGGATCCACTTAACAACTGTGGCAAGAGAGGTTGCAAAACGGGGCAAAACTCCCTTAACAAATGTCTCACTTAGCAACCAAAATTTTGGGCTCAATTGTGGTCGTAAGGCGAGGACTGCCGTTTTTTTTTTTGTCAAAAATACCCCATGGCGAAAAATGGGTTTGCTTGATATGGGTTTGCTTGATCGTCAAATTGTGTCGGTGACATGATCGAAAACTTCACAGCTTATGACCGTAACGTTCAAGGCTCTGTTATGGACATAAGTCGAGGATTACCTATTATTGGGACGTCACGAGACATTGAAGCGGTCTGGGGGCTTCCTTCACCTCTTGTCCCACGGCTTTGTTGCAGGCTCTCTTTTTTTCCCGCTCCAGAAGGTCCCTTCTTGCCCAGGTCAAGATGGAAAGGCGACTCACCTTGGGATGCGTGAGCAGCGGGGTTCACGGAGAGGCTGGGCGCCCCCCGACAAGCCCGTTCTAAGTTGTTGTGCTGCTTGGCCAGCTGTTCGATGGTCTCCTCCAGGCGGATGCGTTGCTCACATTCATGCTGGAGGGCTCGTTGCCATTTTCTGCTGTGGGCCTCTGCAAGATCCAGAAAGTCCCGGCAGGCCTGAGGGAGGAAGGGAGGAAAAGGGATCAGATAATGGCGGAGATCTCCCTGTTGTGAGAGCTTCATCACTTGAGGCTTTCAAGAAGAGACTGGACTGCCATTTGTCAGAAATGATGTAGGGTTTCCTGCTTGGGCAGGGGGTTGGACTAGATGACCTACAAGGTCCCTTCCAGCTCTATTCTGATTGATTGCTTCAACCTGGAAATAAGGAGGAATTTTCTGAGACACTGAGAGCAGTCAACCCATGGAACAAAAGTTGCCTTCGGAAGTTGTGAGATCTTCATCACTTGAGACTTTCAAGAAGAATTTGGACTGCCATTTGTCAGAAATGGAATAGGGCAGTGATGGCTAACCTTTTTGCTGTTGTGTGCCAAAAGTGGGGGTCGCGCGCATGCATGCATGCCCACACTCATAATTCAATGCTCCACCCCCATCGCGCATGCGCACGCAACCCCCTCCACTCCCTCCACTTTTGCCACATGATGGCACAGTGAGCCCGGTAGGCCTGTTTTTCGCAAGACTCCAGAGGCTTTCTTGGAGCCTGGGGAGGGCGAAAACAGCCTTCTCCCCACCCCCCGGGGCTCTCTGAAGGCCAGAAGCAGCCTTCTTCCCGACTTCCGGTGGGCCTGGAAGGACCGAAAATCAGGTGGCCGGTGCGCACATGTACGCTGGAGCTGAACTAGGCCAATGCTCGTGCGCCATAGGTTCGCCATCAGGGTTGTTGGGTCTCCTGCTGAGCGGGGGGGTTGGACTAGATGACCTACAAGATCCCTTTCAACTCTCTTAATCTGTTAAAATGAAGGTTTCTATGGAACAAGCAGCCTCAGAACACGGATGACTTGGTTTCTTTGAGTCAACCGTGCCTGTGGCAACTCGGGAAAACGTCGGGGTGTTATGTGCGTGTGTCAATTCCAGCCAAAAAAAAAAAAAAAAAGGAGAAGATTATCGAAGGAATTATGGAAAATCCTCCTACGCGAGTTATCAATTAACAGACTTTTTAATCTTCTTGTCATTCAAGAGTTAACGCAGACTGCAAGGAAGGAAAAGGGGGGGAAAAAAAACCACATAGCAATCATCCAGCTATAGCGGAATGTGATTAAAATAAAAGGAAAGACACTAATTAGCAAGCTGCAAATTAAGCTGCCAAAGAGAGAGAGTCCCTTGCAAGCCTACAAGTGGAGAACAGAAACAGCAGTGTGTTTGGTGACGGGAGCTGCCCCCACCGAGAGGGAAGCAACTGCGTTGGTGCGGCCCGGCAATCTGATTTATTTAGGAAACAAATCCACCATGCAGTCCATTTCTGGTACAATAGCAGTAGCATTTAGACTTATATACCGCTCCACAATGCTTTATAACTCTTTCTCAGCAGTTTACACATGTTGGCACCTTGCCCCCAGCAATCCGGGTCCTCATTTTACCGACCTTGGAAGGACAGAAGGTTGAGTCAACCTAGAGCTAGTCGAGATCGAACTGCTGGCAGTTGGCAGAATTAGCCTGCCTTACTGCATGGCAGGGAAGGGAAGGAAAGGAAAGAAGGGGAGGGGAGGGGAGAAAAGGAGAGGAGAGGAGAGGAGAGGAGAGGGGAGGAAAGAGAAGAGAAGGGAAGGGAAGGGAAGGGAAAGAAAGGGAGAGAAAAGGGAGAGAGAGAAAGAAGGGAGGGAGGGAAGTAAGTAAGCAAGCAAGCAAGCAATAACACTTAGACTTATATACTGCCTGGTCATGTCATAAATCGCATTCTCCAATTAACCACTTTAGCTGGCTGTGAAACCCAACACTCTCCTACTGATTGCGGTAAGAAAGCATCTGTGGAATGTAGCTTCAGTTAGGGAAATCAATCAGCTCCATCAGTTCTTCCCTCCCTCCTGCTCATGGCAATTTGAAAGCTTTGCAAGTTGACATTAACAACTGCGGTGATTTGCTTATCAAAGTTCGTAAAACGGGGCAAAGCTCAATCGACGAATGTCTCACTTGGCGACAGAAATTTTGGGCTCAGTTACAGCCGTAAATCGAGGACTATCTGTGAAAACAATAAAGGATGCCGCACAACATCAAAGCAGAGGGAGCCCCATTCATTTTTACACACACACAGACAGACAAATTCAGCACACACCAGCCACAGTGGCTGAAATCAACGGCATAATTTCCTGCTATTTTGAGTCCCCTCCCTCTTCCCCCCGAGTCCTATTAAACCATAAAACCAATCGTAGCTTTCGGAGGTCTCTGGGGCAATATCCCAGGCCTCTGGGAGCAAAAGCAATCTCACGTTGCACACATTGATGTTGGGTCAGATGGTTGCGGAGTTGCTTGGAGACATTTCCTGACTTTCACTTTCCATAATTCTTTTTTTTTTTTTAACATTAGGGATTCTAGAAATACCGTCTAGAAATTATGGTTTATTTTCCAGTTAGGTCTTATATTTTGGGGGAAATACAATACTAAACGCCTCCATTTGCCAATTTCCGATCCCACGCGTGCCATAGGTTCACCATCACGGCCCTAGATCATTCCAGACCAATGACTGTCCAATCTCTTCTTAAAAACTTCCAGTGTTGGAGCATCCACAACTTCTGGTGGCAAGTCGTTCCACTGGTTAATTGTTCTCACTGTCAGGAAATGTCTCCTTTAGTTCTAAGTTGCTTCTCTCCTTGATTAGTTTCCACCCGTTGCTTCTTCTTCTGCCTTCAGTTACTGGGGGGTGGGGGGGTAACTTTGGGCCAACCCAAAATGAACCATTGAATTCTAGTCCTGCCTTAGGCATGAAGGATGGTTGGATGACTTTGGACCAATCACTCTCTCTCTCTCTCTCAGCCCAGCCTACCTCACAAGATTGTTGTTGGGAAAATAGGAGGAGGAAGGAGCATTAAGTATGTCCACCCTCTTGAGTTATTTATACAGGTGGGATATAAAAATGTAAATAAGTAAGTAAGTTCCAGAAATAATACACCTTCTCCACCCTGGACATTCTCTTTAATGGGTGAATTTCAACTTCCCAGAATTCCCCAGCCTGCTGAAGATTTGGGGAAGGGCATCCCGACTGGGGAACCCCCTGGGAAGAGGTGAGTAACAAGATGGGGAAGCCATGGAGAGATATCAAACAGCTTCATATAGAACCGTGTTGCCCCGAATCGAAAGAAGCCAGACGGGGACGCAAAATCAGAATACAACTGAGACAACATATTAGCAAAATATTATGAATAAAAAAAAAATGGGCTTCGGGCATTTCCAAGTCACCGCGCTACCCATTAAATTACATTTCACGTCAAGATTTGCACAGCTCCAAGTTAACAAGGAAAGAGCTGAGGTTTTAACGTTCCGCTGGGCAGGATTTCACAATTTTAGGATCTATTCGTTCTCATTCTTTCTAAAGCATGACATACAATACAGCCTTCAGTTCATTCAACCTCTGAAGCTGTGTTTGTTAACCTGGGCAAGTTTTAAGATGGGTGGACCCCCCTCCCCTCAACCCAGGAGGAGAGGGGGGGTCACCAAACAGGGCACCCTAGCCATGCCTCCCCCCCTCCACATACTGGAACTCCTTTCTGTATACAGGTAGTCTGACACACCAGGGAACGGAAGCCAAGACAAGCCAAGGACAATAAAAGAAAAACGGGAAAGAGAACGCACCTGCCCTGTCTGGCTGCTCAGACAGGTGAGCTTTCCCGATACCTGTCCTGTCTGCCGTGCTCTGGTTCCAGCCCCTCCCTGCCTTAGACCTGCAATGGGGAGGGAACGCTTCCCGTGGCATAAAGACACACACGCACATATACACACATCCCTCCCCGCAGTCGCGGGGACGCGCTCACATTTATCATAGCATTGGAGGTGATCCTGAAGAGGGTGGCTCGTTCGTTGACCGCTTTGATCTTTTCCCCGCTCTCGGCCGGCAACTTGAGGTTCTCCAGCTCACTCAGGGATCTCTGGAGAGCCGCCCCGTGCTT